CCAGATACTGAAACAATCAGCACAGATTACAGAACAAGCATGCTTATTATGTCCAAAGACTAAAAGCTAAGTCTGGAAAATTAGTTGGGAACAAGAAATTTGTAAAAAACGATAAAGGGACTGAGGGTGTAGTTCTGTGGGAGAGTTCATGCTTAGCACATTTGAGTCCCTGGGTTCAATTCCCAGAACCTGAAATAAATAAATGAGTAAATAATACAAATAGTGAATTTAAACAGAAAAACATATAAATTGTGGGGCCATGGAAGAATGCTTGCCCAGGATGCACAAGGCCCTGTGTTCAATCTCCAGCACTGAGAAAAACAATAAAAATAAAATAAAAGAAGTAAATTCTGGATCTGAAAGTTTTTTGGTTTTTTTTTTCCTGGTACTGGGGATTGAACTTGGGTCCTTGCGCTTGCACAGCAGGTGGTGGAACCACTGAGCTAAATGCCCAGCCCTGGATCTGAAAGTTGTAATAACCAAAATCATGAACTGCAACAGAGGGGTGGGGATGTGTGTTTAGCATGCACGAGGCTCTCAGTCCAATCCCAAGGGCCACAAAACACAAAAGAGGAAAAAAAGACATTAATAAGAGAGCGGAAGAGTGCTTATCCTTCCCCAGAAGAGAAATGCAAGTCAAAGCACAGGGATGTGTCACTTCACACCCACTAGGATGGCTGCCGAGAAAAGGGAACTGTTGACAAGGATGTAGATAAATCAGAATCCCCATGTCTGCTACTGTGAACGAATGTAAAATAGGGCTGGGGATGCAGCTCAGTGCAAAGGACCTGGGTTCAAATCCCAGTTAAAACAACATAAAATTTAAAAAACTAGTCAAAAAGTGGAAGCAACCCAAATGCCTATGAGCTGATGAACGGATCAACAAAGTGTGCTCTATCTTTATAACGGATTATTATTTACCCTAAAGAGGAACGGAGGACTGATAAATGTTCAGCATGAAAGAACTCTGAAAATATGAACTGATGAGAGAAAGCAGACACCAAAGGCCACATACGGGGTGATTTCATTTCTATAAAAGGTCCAGAACAGACAGATCTATAGACAGGAAGTGGCTTGGTGACTACCAGCTAAGGGGAGTGGCATGTGGATGGGGGAAGATGGCCACCCACGAAGGGACCAGTCTCTTTGTGCAGACGAACATGGTCTAACATTGATCGCACAACTCTTGTGAATGCACGAAAAACAATTTAGTCACATACTCTAAGTGGGAGTTACATGTTAAGTGAATTCTCAATGAAGGTATTATTTTAAAAAAGAAAGAAAATGGCTGGGCACACACCTGTAATCTCAGCACTTGGAAGACTGAGGCAGGAGGATCATAAGTTCCAGGGCAGTCTGGGCTGTACTGCAAAGCTCTGTCTCAAAACACTCGCACGCACGCGCACACGCACTCATGGGCAGCACACATCTGCAATGTCAGCACTCTGGAAGGCTGAGGCAGAAGGATAGTAAATTCAAGCCTGGCCTATGGAATTTAGCATTTTGGGAAGACCCTGTTTCAAAATAAAAAAACAGAAAAAGGGCTGGGGATGTAGCTCAGTGTGAAGGGCCTGGGTTCAATCCCCAGTACCACCAAAAAACAAAAACAGTTATTATCTTCAAAACCCAAACCAAACTAACAAAACAAAAAACAGTAGAAAGTGAAACAAAAAGTAGAAAAAAGGGGGCTGGGGATTTAGCTCAGTGGTTTCGCTGCCTGCTGCGCAAGCAGAAGGATCTGAGTTCGATCCCCAACACCAAAAAAAAAAAAAGTGTAGAAAAAAGTACAGTATGAGCCGGGGATTTAGCTCAGTGGTGCTGTCGCCTGCCTCACAAGCGCAAGGTTCTGAGTTTGATCCCTGGTACCTGACCCCCTACCCCGAAAAGTACAGTATGACTCAGTGGCAGAGCACTTGCTTAGCTTGGCATGTACAAGTCCCTGGCTTGAATCTCCAGCATTGCAAAAACAAAACAAGCAAAATTAATAATAATAATAATAATAGAAATTAAACATGATGAAATTAGAATGAAGAAAATAAGATAATTAAAAACAGTATAATAATGGGCTGGGGATTTAGCTCAGTGGTTCAGGTGCGTGCCTTGCAAGCGCAAGGTCCTGAGTTCGATCCCTAGTACCAAAAAACCCAAAAAAACCTCAAAACAGTATAATAAAAATAAAACAGGTACTTTGAGAGGACTAATGAAACTGATAAACCTTTTGTGAGATGACAAAAAAGGTAAGAAGGTCCCAATGAACTCTATCAGGAATGAAAAACAGGACGTTTCTATGCCACTACAGATCCTAAAAAGCAACCAAGAGGGCCACGTGGCCGTACACGCCTGTAGCCCCAGCACTTCGGATGTCGCCAGATCACAGTCCCCAGTGTGCAGCTCTTAGCGGTATAGGGAGGTTCAGGCCAAGAAGAATCAAGAACCCACCCCACCCCGAGGTTGGAGGGAAGTTTATTACACCGATGGAGGGGATTTCTCTACAAAGCGATCAGTCCGGAGCTGCCAGTGAACAGGGTTTATATGGGTTAAGGGAAGGGGCTGGGGATACAGAAGCAAAGCATCTATCATCAGTCCAAAGTTGAGGAAGTCACATTTAGTTTACATGATTTGATAGAAAAGTACACTGGATACAGACACTTCCTGAGAACAAAGGACAATGAAGGACGTGTGTTAGGTGTGGGAGGGGGTATGAGCTGGGGTCGGTTCTTTAGTTAGGGCAGCTAACTGCAGGAAAAACCTTTTTTGCTCAGAAATCGTTTTCCAGGTTGGGCAGGCTGAGGCAGGAGGATTGCTGCAAGTTCCAGGCCAGCCCAGGCTACATAGTGAATTCAAGGCCAGCCTGAAATACACAGTGAGATCCTATCTCAAACAAAACAAAACAAAAACAAAAAACCCAACATGGTATGCCAGTTAAATACGTGAAAGTACATTCCAGGCCCCTGGAAGAAATAAAGTCAAACTTGTACCAGCTCAGAGGGGAAGTAATCATACCAACTCATTTTAAGGGTGGAACAGTCTTTTGTGTGTGTGTTTACTAGGGATTGAAGCCAGGGCCTCTGACCCGCTAGGCTGGTGCTGTCTACCCCTGAGCTACCCCCAGCCCTTTCTTACATTTTTATTTGAGAGCAGTTCTAAGTTGCCCAAGCTGCCCTGGAACTTGCAATCCTCCTGCCTCAGCCAACCAGCTGGAATTGCAGGCATGCGCCAGCATGCTCAGTTTGGGGTCACCTTTATAACAGCACGGTTCCTATTCTTGAGGCTCCACTCTCATCCCCCTCTCCTAATGTCACACTGGGGGTTAGGATGTAAACACACGAATCTGGGGAGACAACACCTACCTTAGTCACCCAAGCCTCAAACTCGGGAATCATCCTAGACATTTCCACTAGCAAACAGGGTCTGTCAATCCCCGCCCCCCCCCAACACTGGGGATTGAACCTAGGGTCTTCACCCTGAACCACATCACCAGCTCTTTCGTTATTTATTTATTTACTGTAGTTTGCTGACACAGAGTCTAGCTATGCGGCCCAGGCTGGCCTTGCTCCTCGCCGCCATCGTCCTGCTTCAGCCTCCGGCGCGCTGGGACCACAGGCGTGCGCCGCCTCGGATCACACTGTCTTATTCCTGCTCGCCAACGCTGCGGGCTCCCTCTCCCTGCCCGGTAGACCTGACCCGCCAAGGTGGGGACAGAGGGCACCCGCCTGATTCCTCCTCCCCCTCAGCCCTCGGCCAACTCCGGGCAGCGGTAGTCCCTCAAATCAGCCCTCTAAACCCAGGCGCCCGGTCTGCCGGTACTCGGGCCGGGAAAGCCGTGCCGCTCCCGCCGCGCGCGGGTCGACCGCAGAGGAGCCCAGGGCTGCAGCTCGTGACGCCGAGCCGCCCACGGCGCGTGGGCGGGGCTGACGGCGTGAGGCGGGTCCGGCGCTACTTTTGCAGTCTCATGGGCCCCGCGTGCTGACGGACAGGCGGGGAGGACAGCCGATGAGGCTCTGCTAATAAGCTGCTTGGCAACCGGAAGGCCGTGGCGGGAGGAGCAAGTAGCGGCGGGCGTGGGTTTGGGACTGCTGAGGCTCAGCTCGGCCTTGGCTGGGTTCGCCCTCTTCCCTGGATTTAGGGCCAGGAGTCTCTTTCTGCAAAGGCGGGCTAGAGGGGGGTCACGGCCCCTCCAGCCGAGCCTTCGCTCCTTTTCTGCCGGCCCCGTCTTGAGGCTCCAGGTCCCCAGGGCGGCTTCGCAGGGCTTGAGCGCCCCTGTCCCCGCCGCCCTCCGGCTCTGGTCCCCCTCCCTGGTCACGGGTGGGGGCTGGCTGCCGACAGACGCTCTGAGCAGCACACTGAGGCACATCCTCGGCTTGAACCCGCCCGAGTCCGCCTAGCACCAGCCACACCCGACGGAAAGACCGGGGCCCTTCCAGCTGTGCTGCGGGCCAGCTCCCTGGCCCCTCCCCTGAGCAGCTCGGACCATGCCCTGAAGGCCTCGCTCTGTGCGTCCCTGCTCAGTGCGTCCCTGCCGGGTCCTGTCCTGCTCAGGGCATGCTGGCATCTGAGCCACCCCATACCACACCACGGATCACATCACACTTGTCACGGCTCGTGGACCGTGACTAACTTCAGGGCAGGGTCATGTGTTTTTAAGACACGTAACCCCTAAACCTTGCACACTATGCATAGACGGGGTCAAGAAATGGATGCTGAGTGGCTCAGTGCATGAGCTCCGAGGATCTAAAGGGAAGATCTTAAAAGGAGGGTTGGCACCAGGCGTGGTAGGCAGGCCTGTAACCCCAGGGCTCAGAGGCTGAGGCAGGAGGATCGAGGTGAGTTTGAGGCCAGCCTCAGGTACATAGCAGGACCCTGTCTCAAAAAAATAAAAGTAAAATAAAGGCTGGGCTGGGGATGTAGCTCAGCCGTAGAGCGTGTGCTTAGCATTTGTTTGGCCCTAGGTGTGATCCCTAGGACTGCAAAAGAAATGAAATATCACTCTGGGCTGTGGCATTTTTTGGGCTCATCAAAGATATATTTTTTCACCAAGGCGGCACTCCTCCTGACATGTGAACAGGTTCAGGATGGCAGTGGTGAAGGTACTCTGCTTAGCTGGGGGAATGGTCTTCAGGCTACGGGCAGGGCCTGGGCCTGGGTCCTCACTGAGGGAAATCCGAAGGCTCAGGAGGGTGTGTTTGTGTGTGACAGACAATGAGGTCGGCAGATCCAGGAGGTGTTTACTGTAATAAGTTCAAGCAGGGTGGGTTGGGGTGGGGCTCCCCAGTCGATCCTCCAAGGCTCTGCAGTGACTCATTCTTCCTTGGACTCAAAGGCAGGGCTGACATTTGCTCCCCGGGTTGGGCCCTGTTCTCCCCTGGCCTCCCCAGTGTCTCCAGCCACTAGGGCCACATTCCTCAGATAATTGATGTTGAAGCAGTTGGTCTGTTCATCCCCAGGCCTCAGGTCACAGCAGAAGGCAGAATCTCTCCAGAAGTACCGTCTCGGACCACAGAGATCTTCAATGAAGGCTGATTTCTGATGGAGAAGAGTAAAACAGAGATGTTGGGGTGGGGGTCAGAAGTCGGGGACTGATACCCTGCTGCCCAGCATCCTCCTTCCATCAGCTGCTACTGCTGTCCCTCTGGATCCCAGAGAGTGCAGCGCTGACTTCACAGCTGGATTCCTTGTGACTGACAGATGTGCACATCTGGAAATGCCAGAAGCTTGACACCCAGAGAAGGCATAATTGGAACTTGGGAGTAGGGAGCAGGCCAGGTCAGGAATGAAAACTTCTGGAACCAAGGAAATAGATCCTTCTGGGGCTGGCTGGAGGCACTACAGAGAAGGGGCAGCCGGCAGTCCCAGCCCCCTCCCCAGCTCCCCTGCACTCCTTGGGAACCGGAGGAACCTTCTCCATCTCACCTCCTCCTCAGCACAGCAGGCCTGCTCCGGAAATGGCAGCTCACAGCAGCGGGCAGTCATGTTCCAGATCAGCCCAAGGATCTGTTTACTGTGTTGTTGTGAAAGAGGCAGGGGTCAGGGTCTTTGAACATCCCCTGGCATCGGAAGGGTACAGGGGACCATGACTGCTCTCTTAAGGACATCAGGGAAGGGAGGAGTCTGGGGAAGACCGGGCAAGACTCACTGTTTGGTGATAACTTTTTGGTTTCCACAGAGATGGCCCATGAGGTTGGGGGTGACACGGCTGAGGTCGAGGGTCAAGATGTCCCGGTCATAGTTGGGGAAGGGAGCCCGCCTGGCAAAGCACTCATCACGGGCGGGGCTGGGTGGGTAGTGGCAACATGAGTGCTGGTGGGTCTTTATGGCCTGCTCCCGGTCACAGTAGCCATCCAGGGTGTCCTCCCACTGTGGCAAGAGAGGGAAGTCAGAAGCCTGCTTGCTTGGCCCCTTCAGTCCTCACCGTCTGCTTCCCTTATCACCCCGCCCTGAGAGGAAGCACTCCAGCCTCGGGCAGAGGGAAGGCGAAGAGCTGAGGGCAAGGAGGCAGCCGTGGACGTGTGGGCTTGGGAAGGTGGACGGGAGGAAGCACAGATGAAGTTTGGAGTTGGCCACGAGGACACGCCAGAACAGCAGGTGGAGAGGGACAGGTGAGGCAGAGCTGGCATGGTGGTTATGGGGTCATGCGGGGACAGGCCAGGACTGTAGTGTGAAGGCTCAGGATGAACAGGCTCATGATGGACACGCGGACGGACGGGCAGACGGGTGGAATGTCACAACCAGACGGACGTGGACACGCTCACAGCAGGGAGGCACGTGGACGGATGGATCAGTGGACTCAGGTTGGAGATGGGCAGGCTGGGCGCCCACTTACGGCCTTCTGAGTACAGGTGTGGTTGTTCCCCTGGAGGCAGCAGTGCTGGAACTCGACCTCCAGCTGCGTCAGAGCGTGCAGCTGTCTTTGGATGGGGTCAGTGGCTGGGAGGTTGCGTGGCACAGCTCGCAAGCGTCTCAGATGGCAGATGTTCTTGACATTGTCCAGTGTGGGCAGCCCAGGGGGAAAGGGCACCTCCAGGCCCATGGAAACAGCAGGCTGGTGGCTGGGGCAGGCTGGGAGCTGGTAGTGTGGCTGAGGAGCTCCCTCCTGGAAGCAGGAGAACCGGGCCTCCCCCTGCCGCTTGCAGCACAAGTGTGGTCGGGTCTTGACCGAGAACTCGGCCTCACAGAACCGGGTCATTGAGTCCTCCCACTAGATCAAGAGGGGTGGGTCAGCTGGAAGCCCCCTGGCCACATCCCTGCCTTCCTCCAGGGTCCAGGAGAGGATCCCTGGCACTAGGTAAGACAGCAGCAGCAGCAGCTGTCCTCTGTTCTCCTGACAGGCTGGAGCCACGTGGCGGGGCCAACACAAGGACCTGAGGGTCCCCCGCCCCAGGCATCGGGATCCCAGCCCTTACCACAAGTTTTGCACACTCCAGGCGCTGTGTGGCACTCTGGCAGCGGCAGCATCGGGAATAGCCAGTCTCCAGAAAATTGAGGGTCTCTCCCTGGCGGCTGAGGTGGGAGTAGCCAGACTGGGGCAGGTTCCAAGGGCCGTACACCACGTGTTGCCGGTTGGGGAGGCAGATCTGCTTCAGATTGGCTTCTGAAGGCCGGCCCGGGGGGAAGCCATCCAGCCGGTAGCCCCAGCCCCCTCGGAATCGGCCTTGTTGGCAGTGCTGGGCTGAGTTCCAGGACTGAGGATCCACAGGGCCCTGACCAGTGAGGGGACCTGGCTTTTCTGGAAGGGGGAAAACAGAGTGAGGTATGGATGTGGAGGAGTCTACAAGGCTGTACAAGCAGGGAGGATTGAAGGAACTGGGTTGAGAAGAAAAGGTTAGGACATAGGGGAAACCAGTAAGAGATGAATCTGTGGTTCTTACCCTTGGAATAACTGACTAGAAAGGAAGAGAATGCAAGCATGAAAGGGGTCACCTATGGGCTGGGGATTTAGCTCAGTGGTTTTGCCGCCTGCTGCGAAAGCGCAAGGACCCGAGTTCAATCCCCGGTACAAAAAAAAAAAAGAAAGGTGTCACCTGGGAGCCGGCTGTTCCTTCCAAATCCCTGCTCCTGCACCGCTTCCCAAGGCCCAGGTGCCCAGCGCCTCTCCCAGGACCTGAGCACCTGGGCAGGGGATGGAAGGACCTGTGCTGTCACTCACCCTCCGTCTGCCTGGCCCGGACGATTTTCTCCTGGTGTGTGAAGGGTGAGCCCCCTGGGGTAGGAGAAGCATAAGCAAAAATCGTGTTGGGGTGGGCGACAGGCACCCAACTAGTCCTCAGGTAAAGAGGAACTCGCTAGAGGGGGAAATGAAAACAAGGTCTACATATCATTTAATCACATAGCCATCAAATAGGTATTAGGCTTTCAGTTTTACAGATGAAGAACTAAGGCTTGGAGAGGTGAGTAACTCCTCAGAGGTGGCACAGCCAGGAAGTGGCAGGGCCACCGTCTTTCTGCCTCTGGGGTTCGACTGACCGACTGGGTGAAGGGGCCTGGAGAAGAGAAGGAGCTGCTTACTTTCTTCCCATTCAGTAGGGCGCCGGGGAGGGGCCACCTCTTCCTGGACGGAGACCTCTTCCTGAGGGACAGGGCCATCCACTGGAAGACGAGGGCAGGGGTGAGGACACAAAGGTGCAGATGAGACAGTGTCAGCGAGTCTCGGGTGGAGGCGGGAATGAGCACGCGCTCACCTTTCTTTCCATCAGGGCGCCGAAGAGGGGGCAGCTCTTCTTGCAGGGGGATCGCTTCCTGGGGGCCAGGGGCCATGTTCACTGCAGGACAGGGCGAGGACACAAAGGTGCAGATCACTCCAGGGTGCTCCGCTTGGGGGAAGGGCAGCTCTTCCTGCACTGGAGGGGAGGGACCTGCAGCAGCGGTGGCCTTACCTTCCGCCTGTCCCTCAAAGGGAGGGTCGTACTGAGAAGCATCCTGGTCCTGGTGACCCATGGGGAAGCCTCGGGTCCTGGTCCGGGGTGGGGCTGGGGGTGCTGCATAGCCCACTAGAGACAGGAGAGCAGCTGCAGCCCCTGGGACTCCCACTCCCAGTTTGCTCCTCTACACTCTTATCTTCCCTCTCTCATGGGGTACTGGGGATGGAACCCAGGTCCTCACACATTAGGCAAGGACCGTAGCACTGAGCTACATCCCCAGGCCTTTTTCCCCCTTTATTTTATTTATTTTTTCCCAGTACTGGAAATTGAACTCAGGACCTTGCCCTTGCAAGGCAGGTGCAGTGCCACTGAGCTAAATCCCCGGCCCCTCCCCCTTTATTTTTGAGACAAGTTCTAGGTAAGTTACTCCGGCTGGCCTCACACTTTTGATTGTCCTGCCTCAGCCTCCAGAGTAGCTGAGATGACAGGAATGTGCCAGGCTGGCTCTTACCTTCTTCAAAGCGCTGAGTGAAATGCACTGGCCTCAATTCCCTCTGTCCTGCAGGCTCGAAGCCTGGGAGGGAGAAAGGACAAGTCAGGAGTAGGTTTTGTTTTTTTTTGGTACCAGAGATCAAACTCAGGACCTTTTGCTTTCGAGGCAGGCGCTGGAACCACTGAGCTAAATCCCCGGCCCAGACAGGTACCTGATCCGGAGGGTGAGTGTGGATGGGCTCCTCCCCAGCTCTTCCTCTAACCCCTAGCTCAGTCGAGCCTCCCTGGCTCAGCAAACTAATCTTTTTAGGTTTCTGAGACAGGGTCTCACTATATATAGTTCATTTTGACCTTGAACTCACTATGTAGGCCAGGCTTGCCTCAAACTTGTGGCAATCCTCCTGCCTCAGCCTCCTGAGTGCTGATTACAGGTGTGTCTTCATGCCCTGCTCAAGAAACCTGTTTTTTTTTGTTACTGGGGATCGAACTCAGGTCCTTGCGCTTGCACAGCAGGCAGTGGAACCACTGAGCTAAATCCTCGGCAAGAAACCTGTTTTGAACAGAGGGGGAGGGGCCCTCTCACCTCATCTTCCTTAGGCAGAGGTCCCTCATTCTCTCCTTAGTTGTCTACTCGAGTCTGATTTTGAGTTTCTCAGCAGCAATCTCTAGGAAGCCTTTCTTCTCCCACCTCCCTCCCAAATGCTCCAGTGCCCCAGGCCCCTTGGGACAGCTTCGAAAAGGGGAGGCCAAATCACCCTGCGGTGAGGAGCCAGGCCCCTCCCGAGTGCTGACCCCACCCCAACTCACCTCCCTCGGAGGCAGCAGAAGCTAAGGCCAAACAGGCCAAGATCGCGGCTGCTCTGGACACGACCCCCATTCCGGGGCCACCCAAAAGCTGGCTTGTCTTGGGCAGGTGGACCTGGAGTGCTGGACTTCTGGAAGCCTGCTCCTCTGCTTGCTGCTACTGCTGTGGTGAACTCCAGGGCCGTCTCCCTTTTATATGCTGCCTGCTATCTTGCCCTCTTCAGCTTCCTGCGTGACTCAGTCCTAGCTGCTCCTCCTCTAGCAGCCACTCCTCCTAAACTCATGCTGAGGCCTTCTCTGAGGATTGAGGAGGCAACGGAAAGGGAGCATCTGTATGACCCCAGGAGAAACTGACTCAGAGAATCATGGGGCAAGAGGCCTTTGCACGCCTAAATTTGCACCTCTTTGCATGCTGCCTTCTGTGTAAAAAGGATCTGACAACCTACTAAACTGGTTTGGGGAACAGGTATTAAGGAGTAGAGTGGAGCATAGGACCACTATCTCAGTGACAGGGACAGAGCCAGGCACATGCTTGTAACCTTAGCACTTGGGAGGCTGGGGCAAGAGGAGCGTCATGAGGTGAGTGAGGCCAGTCTGGAATACACTGCAAGACACTATCTCAAAAAACAAATTTAAAAATAAAAATTAAAAAAGGGAGTCAGATATAAAGACATGTATCCTGCAGCTTCAAGTTTATTTTTTTCATTTTACTCTCTTCACATCCAAACACTAATTTCCCACCCTCGGTAGGCACCAAAATAGTCTCTTCAGGGGAGCACAAGCATGCAGTTCCGAGGACTGTGGACCGTCACTTGGGTTGAGAGAAGCTGATGGCTCTCACAGATCTTTCTCTCATCTATGAGGAAAGGCTCAGAAAACCTCCTCGGCGTTGGAGACCCTGGCGTTCTGCAGTTCCAGCAGCCGCTGCACGGCTGCAGTCAAGTCCCACTCCCCAAGTCGGCGATTATCTCGAGTGCGTATGTTCACTGTTCTCTTACTCTGCTCTTTCTGGCCAACCACTGCAGGAAGAGGAAGGGAGGTTTAGGAATCTCAGTGCAAACTCATCCACATGGGCTATTTCCTTTCGCTCTGCAGAAACTTAAAAGATCCAGGTCTTTAATTGTGGCTATGGTTAGCCGTGCCTGCCCTCCAGTTCACTGCTCACCCTGAGCCGATAAGGAAATGTTCCAGGCTCTGCACACCTTATCACTTCCAGTCAGGAGGACCCCAAGGGTCAGAGATGTGAGTGGGTCAGAGGATGACAAGACCAAAAATGAAACAAAAAGAAACTCCCTGTAACCGAGAAGGGGCACTAGAAGAAGGGGAAGCCGCAGGGGTGGCACACGCATGTGCAAGCCCATGATGCTAGGAGTCTGTGCAAGGTGTGGGTGGGGCAAGTGGTGTGACACAAGACCCTGGCAGCCTGGAGAGGAGACCAAGCTCCCTGCCTTCATCAGCTCTGAGCTCAGGCGGGCGTGGTAGTGCACGCCTGTGATCCCAGCCACTTGGGAGGCTAAAGGCAGGAGGACTGCAAGTTCAAGGCCAGCCTTAGATACCTAGTCAGATCCTGTCCCGAAATAGAGGCTGGGGATATGGTCAGTGCAAAGGCCCTGGGTTCAATCTCCAGTACCTCAAAGAGGGAGGGGGCTGGGGATGTAGCTCAGTGGTAGAGCACTCACCTGGCATGTGCAAGAGCCAGGGTTCAATCCCTAGTGTGAATAAGGAGGAGCAAGGCTGTGTCAAACTTTTCTCTGTAAGGTCTTTTCCCTCATCCCTCAGGGCTGACTTCATCCAGGTGTAAACAAGGATAATTAATTACTTAACCCTTCCATCCCTTTCTCGACATGCTCCCCTGGCTAATTACACTAACAGAAACCCTGCAGGGCGGGTTCACAGGAGGGAAACTGTTGTGTGGGGCTGGGGCGTCTGTGGGGAGGAGCAGCAGCGTGAAGGGATGTGGAGGACAAATGAGTAGGCTCCCACCAGTTCAGCAGTGAGCACAGTGCAGCCGCTGTGCACACGGGTGAGCTTAGCAGACGGAGAAAGGAGATGGGGGCGGACAGGAGAGAGAATCCAGGCCAGCTCTGAGGTGCCGCAGGGACGGAGCCCTTACCGAACTGGAAATTGTAGTGAGTAAGCTGGGCCCGGCGGACTTTCCGGCTGAGAGTCAGTCCTGGGTCAGTGTCCAGGTCGCTGGCCAGCCCTGCAGCCTGCAGGCTCTGTTGGATCTGGAGATAAGAAGTGAGCGGGAGGCTGGGGAGGTAGAAGGTCAGGCCACTCTGACCCTCACCCTCCACCCCAGTGCTCTCCACTTCCCACCAGCAACCTCCTGTCAGCTCCGCGCTGAGGGTTCCTCCCCAACCCACAACTTTTTGGTCTGTCTGCTACTAAAGAGGCACCCTCAGTTATTCCCTGGACTTTGCCTGCTGCTGGCCGCAACTCCACTCAGCCACCTGCTCCATTCTGGAACCATCTATATTCTCAATTCTCTTTAGAAAGGAGACAGCCAGGCACGGTGACGCCTGCCTATGATCCCAGCCCTCGGAGACTGAGGCAGTAAGATCCCCATGGGTTCGAGACCAGCTTGACCTGTGAAAGTGAGACCCTATCTCACCACCCCCACAGACGAAGAAAAAATAAAACCAGTATTTACTCAAGCCCACTTCTGTGCCATGCCAGGATTTAACATTTGCTGATTTGTATCAGTTTAATTTTCACACACATCTACAAGACAGAAATTAGTCTTTTGGGGGGGGGCAGTACCAGGATTAAACCCAGGGCTATTGCGCTGAGTTGCAACCCCAGCTCTTTTTTAAAATTTTGAGATAGGGTCTCAACAAGTTGCCTAGGTGGGACTCAAACTTGCAGTCCTCATGCCTCAGCTTCCTAAAGTGCCAGGATCACAGGTGTGTGCCATCAGGCCAGCCTGCCTCGTTTTTCAGATCCAGAGTTTCTGTGTACAGGACAGCCGCCACTGAAGCCCAGGCTGTGGCTCCAAGGGCTGTACCCACCCCCTGACCCTGCACAGCCTCATCCTACCCCTCACTGGGCACCACACTCCCTGCTCTTCCCCTTCGGCCTCCCTTCCCTCCCCTGGCGCCAGCTCACCTCCCTGGCGTATTCCTCCTGCTCGGTCCCCACAGGGATGACGGCCACTTGGAACGGGGACAGCCACAGGGGCCTGGTTGGGAGGGGACAGGGCAAGGCATTACTCGTTCTGGTGGGGGGCACAAGTGTGACTCCAGGGGAACAGATCTGAGGAGGACACATGAAGGGGACAGGAGACCTGGAGCAGGAACTATTTGGTCTGGGGAGCCAGAGGAGAAAGGGCACAGTGGGGTCTCACCATTTCCCCCCACAGCTCTCTGTCAGCACTGCCAACAGCCTTTCCACAGACCCGAGCACGGCCCGGTGGATGAGGACTGGGCGCTCCAGGGCCCCCGCCTGCCTTGGAAGGAGAAAAGAGCAAGTGGGTGGAATGTCACAGATTGTGCATCCAGGACGCTCCAGTTTTCAAGACATATTCAGCCCTGGAAGGGAGGGTGTGGGTCACAGATTAAGGGGGAACTGCTCACCCATCCCATGGGCTGTCAAGGGAAAAGGGGATGGGAGGTTGTGTACCCCTTGTACTGGAGGTTGAATCTCATGGGCAGCTGGAAGTCCAGCTGGATGGTCCCACACTGATGCGGCCGACCCAGGGCGTCCTGCAGGTGCACATCAATCTGGAAGAGAAAGGGGAGGCAGGAGAGACCAGACCCAGCACCCCACGGTTCCACCACACACATCCCACAGTACTCTACCCCCGCTCCACACTGTGTCACCCACCCTGGCAGTGGCACTCTGCTTTACAGCAACATTGGCGCATCAGGGATCTGCACATCCCAGCCGCCCAGCTCCTAGCCCTCCTTGCCCCGCCACGCTCATGGCTGCTCCCTCCATCCGGCTCCCCGTGGCCACGCTTCCCCAACAGCCCATCAACACCTACTCTAATTCATGTTTCTCACTCTCCTGGGTGAGTCGCTCCGATTCCTGGCTCTTCAGGGTTACTGAACTCCACTCTTCTCTTCCCATCCACTGGCCCACCTCTGATGTTTCCCTGCCCATGCACCTGTAACCATGTCCTGGTTCCCTGTGCCATGGATTGCTCTTCAGTCACATCTGTGTGGCCAAACCCCACGCTGGCAGCACCTCTGCCTCCTGCCTCCTTGGCCCGGACAGAAACGCTGTGCTGCCCACCCTGTCACCTGCCACCCGGATGCTACAAAGTCACTGTGTGGGGACCCAGCTGGTCTGTGCAGTGGCCCCCACACCCGGGCATCTTCCATGTTCTCCTCAGGGATTTCCAAGCCCTTTTCTCTTTATTTTTATAACAGTATCTTGGTACATAATATATTAGACTGATTTAATAACATAATAAGACTTTACCACTGATTGCTATCTCTGTAGCCTTAAGTGCCCTGTTGAACCTTTTTGAATTTTTTTCTTCTTAGTAACACAGTGTTTTGTTGTTTTTTTTGTACTGGGGGCTGAACCCAGGGCCTTCACACTTCTCCAGCCCTTTTCCTCCTGCATCAGCCTCCCAGAGTGCTGGGATTACAGGCGTGTGCCGCCACGGCCGGCTAGTGCCTTTCCTATGCCAGGCGAGTGCTCTGTCACTGAGCTACATCTCCAGCTCCCTTGTTTTCTTTATTTTGTTTCCTGGTTTTGGAGACAGGGTCCTGCTATTTTACCCAGGCTGGCTTCAAACTCTTGGATTCGAGTGATCCTACCTCAGCCTCTGGAGTAGCTGAGATTACAGGTGTGAGTTGCCACACACCACACACTGGGCTCCTTACAGCCTTTTTATTGAATCCAGCAGGCACTTATCAGTCCTTTCCCTTTCTGCGCCCACTGAGTAGCTAAACTGCCTAGGCTGGGCCTGAACTCGACCGTTCTGCCTCTGCCTTCCAGGGTGGCAGGATTACAGGTGCCACTGCGTCTGGCTACCTGCCACTAACCACCAACTTCTCCCACTTCTTCCAATTTACCTTGTCAGTTTTCACCTCTACCTACAGCCTCCACCTACCCTGTTCCCTGCTAAAACAGCTCTTTACTTGGGCAACAATGATGGCTCTGGACTGGAGAGTAACTCTTGTTTTTTGGTATTGTTGTTTTTTTGAGGCAGGGTCTTGGTATATATTCCAAGCTGGCCTTGAACTTACTATGCAGCCCAGGCTAACCTTGAACTCAGTGATCCTCCTCCCTCAGCCTTCCCAGGGCTGGGATTACAGGTGGGCACCACGATGCCCAGCTAGAGAGTGATTCTTTTTTTTTTTTTGGTGGTATGGGGGATCAAACTCAGGACCTTGCGCTTTCGAGGCAGGCATGGGATCACTGAGCTAAATCCCCAGCTTAGAGTGATTCTTGTAGAAAGCCCTTCCTGTGCCCTGAGCAATCTAACTCGTTGTGCTTCCTTAGTACTTAATGTAGAACTGACCCAAGGCATTCACATGGCCTATTTACCTTCCATAGCTTTCACTAGACTGCTAATTCCATGGCAGCAGGGGATATATCACTCTTCTGTATGTCTTACACAAGTTAAAGGTATTTCTTTGTGTATACTAAATATTTAATAAAACAAAACACTAATACATGCTATAAGCAGGGTCCCCAGCTTACCTTAGGTCCATAGAAGGCACCATCTCCAGGCTTGAGGGCCCAGGGTTCTCCAGACTCCTCTAAGGCCTGCTGCAGGACCTTCAGCGGGAATGGGACAAGACAGGGATCTGTCCCCTGGGACCTCATGAGCAGGACCCCTCCCAGTCCCCCCAGTGACTCCCAGCATGTGTCTCCATGGGACGGTCCTGGTTCACCCCCACCCTCACTGCAGAATGGTTCATCTGCCTTTGGTTCCCTCCAGCCTCTTACCTGCTCAGCATGGTCCCAAAGGCGAGGCTCCCCCAGGAAGCTGGATGGGCGGGTGGACAGTGACAGGCTGAAGGAGAAGCCAAGGACAGCATAGACAGAGCAGAGGAAATCAAGACAGCCTCGGATCTCTGCTTGCAGCTGGGGGCAGGAAATAAAGGAGGGTGAGCTGGGTGTCAGCTGGAGATCTGGGATGATGGTGGCTGGGGGAAAAGAGAGCGGAAAGAGGGGACGTGAAGACAGCTGCAGGCAGAGGGAACGGAACTGTATTACACCCAGGGCCAGGTGAAAAGCACAGTGTTTGGGGTTCATTAAGGGAATTAAAGGGGGGTCAGGAGATGCTCTGGAGGGGCCAGGAAGGACCACCTGCTCTGGGGCACAGAAGATATGAGCGTCATCCTGCTGGAAGCGCCAAAGCCGCGTCAGTCCCCCCAGGCCGCCAGAGGCCTCAGCTCGGTGCAGGGCTCCAAAGTCGGCTAGTCGCACAGGCAGCTCCCGCCATGATCTGGGCCGGTGGGCGAACATCAGGCTGAGGTTGAGGCAGGGAGGGGTCAGGACCACAGGAGAGCCAGCCCCTGACCTCTGCTCCTCCCCCAGTCACCAGTCTCTCTACCCCATGCCTTCCCACCAAGCCCTCATCACAGTCTGAGCCAGCCTGGGTCAAAAGCCAACTTGTCAGTCACACATGGTCACAGGCATTATGTACCGTGCTCTGTGATGGACACTGAGCCTTGATGCCACTTGTTCTTTTTATTTTGTTTTTGAGACAAGGTCTTCTTACTATGCAGTTCAGGCTGGCCTTGAACTCATGGCAGTCCTCCTGCGTCAGCCTCCATGTGCTACCATGCTGGGCCTGATGTCACTTTTAAGGAGACTGAGACCCAAGAGGTAGAACAATTTCCCCAAATCCACTTGGTTAGCTCGAGGGCAGGTTCTGGACTCAAATCAGATGTTCCACTACTCTTTCCAACCTGTTTCCCAGCTCCGGGAGGACCCAGTGTCCTGGCTCCCAGCTCACCAGTGTGCAGGGCAGTTCATGGGCTTGAGGGCGAGTGTCTCTGTGGGATGCCTGGCAGGGTCAGAGCCCTTGGGCTGCAGGGCAAATATGTTTTCCCTGTAGTGCCCCCAGTGCCCAGACTGTTTCCACAGTTTCACAGAAAACACTGTGGGCGTTTTCACCTCTGAGAAACCACGGCGGGCATACTCAGCCTGGAGAGGAGGTAAGACACGGAAGGTCAGCGTCACTGGCAGGAGAAACGGCAGGAAGGTGGCTGGCTGATTCTCCTGGGCTCTCAGACTGTGTGGACCTCAGGCACGAGCTGTTGCACGCTCTGCTCCCTGCTTCCCCACTGCACACCACACAACTGCAGCAGCTCGTTACAGATCACCAGCACTTCGTACTTTATGCTTCCCATTTCCCTCTCTGCACTCAAACACCGTAGCTTCTAGGTAGGCCCTCAGCGCTTCCCTTGTCTCCCTTCCCCTGGACTTGGGTCCTCCCTTACCCTGATAAATGCCACCAGGGCATTATACACCCTGGTCCCACGTGGCAGGAAGAAGCAGCTCCCAGGGCTCAGTTCATGGAAAAAGAAGAGCTCCTGTTCCTAGGGACAGAATGGCAACTGTCATTTCAAGGTGGGGCAGGGGACTCTGAGAAGAAACAAGTGACAGAGCTGCTGAGTTTGCTGAATCTGCTCCCAACCTCACACTCAGATTCCTCCTTCGCCCCACACGGGCATCCTTCCCTCCGCTCCATCCGTCCTCTGAGCTCTGTACCTTCCCGATGCGCCTGTGGTCCCGAGACTCTGCTTCCTCCCTCTGTGCTTCCCATGCCCTCAGCAGCTCAGGTGTGGGGAAGGAAATCCCCAACACTCTCTGCAGCGGCTCTAGACTCCCTGGGGACCTCCACACGGATGAGGTCTGTGGGAAGACAGAGGGAATCAAAGAGAAGATGAGGACTAGGGTACCTGACCTCTTATGCGGCACAGGTCCCCTTCCAGCCTGTCCCTGCCCATCACAAGGATGGGAGTCCTTCCTCTGGACTCCACTGGCCAGTGACAGCCTGGGGTTTGCCAGATTGGATTCCTGCACACATCCTGGTCAAGCCTAAACTCACCTGGCCACCTCTTTCTCTCCCCATCCTCACTGCCCTACTAGTAGTACCCTGTACTCAGTTCCTTCCCCTTCTACTCAACAACTGTTTAGGGGAGCACCTATTCTCCAGTCCAATGTCAGTCTGTCCATCCCCTTATGAACAACCCGTACAACTCCTAGAAAAGTCAACCTTCCTTCCATACGTCCTGTTCTTGGTCACATGAAATTTAAAAACTTGCTCTTTTCTTTAATGATAGAGTACTAATAAGAAAAAGGTTTTTTTTGTTTTTTGAGACAGGGTATATAGTTCAGGCTGGTGTTAAACTCACTTTGTAGCCCAGGCTGGTCTTGGTCTTCAAATTCTCCTGCCTTAGCCTCCCAAATACTGTCTTTTTTTTTTTGGTACCAGAGATCGAACTCCAGACCTTGCGCTTGTGAGGCAGGCAGCAGCACCACTGAGCTAAATCCCTGGCCCTCCCAAATACTGTCATTACAGGCATGTGCTACCATGCCCAGTAAGAACCTACATTTCATAGCACTCTGTCTCAAACACTGTCTTCTGTGTTTGTTGTGGATTTACTGGTAGTACAAGAATAGCTTTGTTTTATAGATGGGGAAAATGGGTAAGCAGATTAGCCAAAGCCACATACTTCACAGATGGCAGATAATGCAGACAGCTAAGTTTTCAGACCAGGGCTTTTTGTTTTACATATTTATTCATTCCCTGGTTCCCTGCTCCATTCCATCTAGTAGCTCTCTATCAGGAGCAGTATTTTCATAGAAGACATGCACTTAACATAGGGCATTCTCCCCGTGGCTGTAAAACAGTATTCACTCATCTACCTCCACAGCCCTTCCCTCTATAGCCCGGTCTGCCTGCCTCCCCTATACAGCCCTGTCTAGACTGCTCACACCTCTGCCCCACATCTCTCTCCCATTTTTACGAGGGGGGTGGGGTGGACGAGAGGATTGAACCTAGGCCCCTTGCACTGAGTTACAACCTTTACTCTTATTTCATTTATTTTTTGAGACAGGGTCTTACTGAGTCACTAATCTGTGCAGGGTGGGCTCCAACTTGTGATCTTCCTGCCTCAGCCTGCCACTGCTCGGATTATAGGTGTGTGTGACTCCATTTCTGGCTGCCTCTTTTTTTTTTTTAGTACCAGGATCGAACTCAGGACTTTACACTTTCAAGGCAGGTGCAGTGCCACCGAGCTAAATCCCTGGCCCAGCCTCTGTTTTTATCTTTTGTTTTGTTTTCTCTTTACAGCTGTATCTCTCTTAACGTTAATGTCAGACTATGGAATTTAAATTGGCTTCTGGGTCCTGGCAGGGTATCTAGTATGTCATCAAACTGGGAGATTCTAGAGTGGGGGGACCAAGTATCTTTCTCCTTCTGGATTCCCTCCTTAGCCATGAGAAGAGAGCAAGGCCTTGGAGGGAGGGTCACTTTCCCGCCTTCCCATTCTCCCACTTGCTCCTGTGAAAACAGAAGCCTCAACCTAATGATAGTGTCCTAACTGACCGCAAGCAGCTTCAGCCCTCCAATCTGTCCAGCGTGCCGAAGGTGGGGTCCCCGGCAAAGGTCAACCAATGTGCCACACCTGGGAGAAAGCAGAGGCAGGTCAGTGGTTTCCAGATTCCCGAGTGTCTAGTTTTCTCTTTCACGTCTTTAGCTGACAGAGGAGGCAAAGTGGAAGGAGCTATTCTACAGAGAGAACAATTCCAGTTAAAAATCAATTCTTCTCATTTCTTTTCCTGGAGCAACAGAGGTTACCATCTGCCCCCTTCCCTTGTGGCTCTCTGGCCTCTCCACCTCGCCCTCTTTTCTTCAGTCTGACAGTGCTCACCCGTACACTGTTGCTGTTGGGCCTGTCACTTTCTCTTCAATCACACGAAGCTTAAAGGGGTTATCCTGGAAGAAAGCAGATGCCAACAGGGAACCCAAGTCCTTATTCTCACAAAAAGGTCCTGGCAAAGAGCTGCCCTCTCCCTCAAAGCCCAACCTTCCTCCTAAAAGTGCATTGTAACCACCTTAAAGAGCTGGCGCAGCTGATCCTGGGAAACCTCCAGCCTCCGGAAGGGCTGTGCATCAGCTGCCATCCGCTGGCAAATCTGCTCCAAAATAGGTAACTGTGAGCCCTGGACTGTTCTGGAAAGAGCAGTTTTGTTGGTTTACTTCCTCTAAGAAGCATCACTGGGTGATACACTAGTTGGCTAAAGAAGGAAATCTTGTGCTCCAAGAAAAATAATCTATAATTAGTGGTAGAGACTGATAAACTCAGGGAAACATAAACAGGAAGTCAGGAAGAGATCTGTGTGTGCACTGCTGGGGATCAACCCTTTGGCCTTGCAAGGCTAGGCAAGTGCTTAGCACTGAGCCATATTTCTAGCCAAAGGTACAGATTTTATATATATATATATATAGCTGGAGGAAAAGCTCTATGCATGAAGTTTTTTGTTTTTTTTTTAAATAGTATCTCAGGCTGGCCTTGAACGTACTGTGTAGCCCAGGCTGGCCTCAAATTCATGGCAATCCTCCTGTCTCAGCCTCCCAATGCTGTGATTTTAAGTGTGTGCTACCATGTTTGGGATATGCATGAAGTTAAAAGCTGAGTGCAGGAAATCTGGATGGACAAAATTAGAACGATAGTAATGAAGGGATGAAGATTTGAAACTTTATGAAGGCTAAAGGTAAATTTCAAGCAGAGTTAAACAGGGACAAGACCTAATGGAGACACTGTACCAGTATCACAGATGAGGCCTGAAGAGGCCTCACCCAGCTTTCTCCTTAAATTAAACATGCCTGAGGCCCCAGAAAAGAGCCTCAGAGACCACCCCAGAATGAATTCTCCTTGTTACTTGGTGCACTACTCACCGCTCCTTTCCCAGGAAGAAATCATGGTAAAAGCCGCGGTCTGTACTTGGACCTCGGCAGAGAACAGCACCCAAGAATTGTTCAGCTGCTGCCCCTAGGATATGGGCACTAGAGTGCCATAACACCTGAATTTGAAAGAAAGGTTTGTGAATTCAGCAACTCTTTCCTTAACTCCTAGATCTCCAATCCTTTCCTGAGACATTGGTAGGAAAACCATTAGGGCTTTTCTAAGAGTAATTACCAAAAAATGGAGAAACTAGTCTTTGAGGGGGACTACTAAATAGTAATAATAATTTTAAAAAATTGAAAGACAATAGAAAAAGAAGCAGAGGGCAGGGTCCTTTCTTCTTTCACTGAACAGAAGCTATGGCAACCTTGTTGCTTCCCAGTCCTGGAGCACAGAAGCAGGAGGCCAAACAGTCTTCTTCTGCTGCTCCTATACCTGACTGGGGCTCCCAGATGGACTATCGTTTTTGGTTTTCTTTGGTGGTCCTGGGGAATGAACCTAGGTCCTTGCACATTGTAGGCCGGTGCATTTTCCCTGAGGTATTGCCCCTACCCCTCCATCTGGTCTTTTAGTCCTACTGCTTTCTAACTCAGCAATCTAGTGTGATGCAACTACTCTTCCAGGATTTGGTCACTATCTCTTTTTCTGGATCCTATTAGTCAAAGTCTGTGTTACCTGAGCTGACATGAAGAACACAAAGTAGGGAGGTGACCAGGCTGTGTGCTCAGCTTCGGAAGCCATGTTACATACAATTGAATATACACCACGGGTGACTTATAATGTAGGTGGTCAAGAGCTGAGGAAGTCGAACTGCACATGATACTTCTGTTTTTCAACTTATCTCTCCCTTTTACTTGCACAAATGATCTATGCTTAAAAGATTAAGGCTAAGTAAAAACTTGTCATAAGTTTTCAGCTTAGCCAGAAATAGATGGTTGGTCTTGGTACCAACTTACAAATGGAGAAACTGAGGAAAAAGAAATGTTAGAACTTCCTGCTTAAATATCTCTTAGTTTATTAGTCACTAGTTACTCTCCCTAAGGAAGGAACTTACCGATTTTCCCTCTGGGGAATCAAACGTCAGAAATCTGAGATCAGAATCTGTCTCCAGGGGCCGCTCCAGATCGTAAGATTCTCCATTCACTTCAGCAGCCAATGCAGTATCTGCCAGTGTTGAACTTCACCCGTGGGGGGTGGGGAAGAAGAAAATGTCAGGGTTATAATCCATGGCGGAAGAGAAGCTAATCCCCTGGTAACTCTAAATTTGTAAAGGAGAAACGAGCTTCCAGAATAAAACCTATTTCTTTCTCCAATGGATAATACAGGAAAGACAGACCCTGAAACTAATGGAGATAAATTCTCAGGGAAGGCTATTTTGCTGGGGATGAAATAAAACAAGCAGACCACATTTTCTTTCCCCACGGCCAGGTGCAGAGAAGTGAGGGCTGGGTTGGATACCTCATCTGCCGGGCTAGCTGGTAAGGGGTTGTGTTCCATGCCACAGCATCCACTTTCTGGCCTCCAGGAAGTGACACCTTTATAGTCCGGGCTTCCTTCCGAGCAGTGCTTGCTAACCTCGTTACCTGAACAGCCCACAGCTTCTCAAAAAGGCCAAGCCGCTCTACCAACCAATGTGGAGGGGTCGGCATGGACGCCTGGGGGGAAAGATAGGTGAGGCGGTAACACAGGTCCCATCCTTTCTTTTCAAGACTGAAGATGGTAGGAGTTATGCATATTTAAGAGGCCTTGGGCCTAATCTCTGGTTTTTAAGGGTGGCTGGGTGATACAGGTCTTAGACTGGGGGTCCTAATGGATACTACTCTTCTAAGGAGCTCCCCCCCAGGCTCCTGACCCAGAATCTGACTCGAGGAGATGGCCAACTGAGGACTGGGGTACCCTTGTCTGAGGACTTCGGAGTGCAGCGAAGAGCTGGAATGGCGAGAGGCTGGACTGAGTCTACATCTTGGGCTTTGCTTGGGCTGGGCCCGATGGTTCGGAACCTTTGGGTACCTCATGCAAAGTGCGTAGCTTGTAAGCTTGCAACCCCGGAAGACGGAGCACTAGCAGGAGTGGTCGCCACCTCTGATACAGCTGCATGGTCCCTGGAACTAGCGCCTACATCCTCAGATTATGACCGCCTCTCCGTTACCAGATTTCTCATTGGCTTCTAGCCCAACAACGTCCCTGTCTATTGGTTACCACTCTAGTCACTCTAGTCTGGCACCACCTCCAGGAACTCCGAAGAGACACACCGCTCCACAGCAGGAGCAGAGGCTAGAATGGTTCCGACCACCGGAAGGTAGAAACTGTTACACACATCTGCGACCTGGAAACCCGTCGCATTTCAGCTGAAAGCCCGGAGTAGCACAAAGTGTCCGGCAGCCATGAAGCCAGAGGCACAAGCCTTGAGGACAGGAGAGGGAGAGAAATAGGCCAGATATGGTAGTCACTTCCCTTTAACCATAAATTTTCTTACATCTAATCTTTAAAGCAGGTAGGAAACTGTTAAGAGCATAGACTTTGGAACCTGGCAGACCTAGTGTAAATCCTGGATCTGCCATTAATTTTTGTGAATTATTTAAATTCTCTAAGACTGTATTTTTTCATCTGTAAAACGAGAATAGTAGTATCACTACAGGTAGTTGAGGTAAACTTTATGTACATTGTCTAGCATAGTGCTTGGTATATGATAATGACAACAGCAACAAGCCCTTATAAAGTTGGAGCGACGGATACGACGAATCCACAGAAGTCACTTTTTTGGAGTTCATTCATATTCCTGGTGCTTAAAAAGGGACTTTAGAGATTAATCTTATAGATGTGGAATTTAAGGTCAGAAATGCTCTGTTTTAAGGTCAAAAAGTTAAGTGCTGCCAGGCGTGATGGTCCACGCCTGTAATCCTAAACACTCCAGAGGCTGAGGCAGGAGGATTGCCATGAGTTCGAGGCCAGCCTGGGCTACATAGCGAGACCCTGCCTCAAAAACACAAAACAAAAACAGTGAATGGTGACGCTGGCATCTGAATCCAGGACTTGCATGCTTCCACCACACCATGCTTTTTCTAGTACTGTAATAGTTTATTTCTAATATATTCTCCTTCACTCAGAAGAAAAGATGCTAGCTCTTTGCTCCCCACATAAGCCTTTTACCTTTCATTTCTATCCCAGCTCTCAGTTTTGTCTTTCCTCCCTGTTACATCCGAGATACAGGGATAATGATTAATTTTACACAGCAAAAATACAAACACTGCTAGATTTGTAGTGAAGTATGAAGGGAGGCCCAGGGATTTAGCTCAGTGATTCCACTGCCTGCCCCGCAGGTACAAGGACCCGAGTTCGATCCCTGATACCAAAAAAAAAAAAAAAATATGAAGGGAAATGAATGGTGGGGAACCATGAGGCTCTCAGTAATTCCCAATCAGTCCCCTCACCTGGGGGTAGGGATGGTTCAAGTTGGTTCTCAAGTTTCAGTGGTGATGGAATTGAGGGTCGTGGAGGAAGAGCAGGCAGAGAAAGCTGTTTAATTTAGGTTTCCAGAGAGACTGGAAGTTGTTTCTGAGGAGGGCAGTTGATCTGAGTCATAGGATCTTGGCTCCATCTTCTGGTATGTCAGACATCCTGAAATACAAAGAGAAAGACAAGACTGGAGATTACCTGTGTTTGTGTATGTGGTCAGGAGAAAATAGTAAGAATTTTTAAATGGCTTGAGAAAAAGTGACAATGGCAGGCAGGACTTTCTTGTGGCCCTGCACTACAAGGGGTAGGGGAAGGTTATATTGCAGATAGCAGACTGGTAGATGCTCAATAAACTAAGTGATCACTGCATTGACGCTCCAGAGGACACGGACACAGTTTGTTTACTCATTGTACCTTATCCTTGGTTCAGATCATGGATGGTGGAGTAAGTAGGCCAGCCTGAGATGGCAGCTCCCTACACTCACCCTTCAGACATTCACTGATGCTCACTGTGCAATGCGCTGAGCTGGGTGCTGAGGTGATGCCGACCGGTCAGGCACATCACCATCTATGGAACTTGTGTTGCAGTGGGAGGAAGGAATGTCAAGTTTTCCATCCCATTCCTTGTACTAAACAAGAAGCACAAGCCAGCTAAGGCTAATTCACTAAGAATTCATTCTGCAACAATTTCTACCATGTCTCAGCCTCAGAATTTTTTTTTTTTTTTTTATAAAGACAGGGTCTATGTAGTCCAGGCTGGCCTCAGACTCACAGTGATTCTCCTGCCTCAGCCTCCTGAGTCCTGAGATTACAGGCATGGGCTCAGCCTCAGAAATTGTAACCCAGTAATTGCTCTCTGCCTGACAAACATCTATGTCTGAAACTTCTGTTGCGACCACATACTACTCTTGCTTGCCAGAATACCACTGGACACTTACTGTGTGCCAAGTGCTTTCACTAATTCCTAGAATAATTCAACTCTGTCAAGCAGTGTTTTTTTTTCTTTTTTTTTTGGAGACAGTCTCACTATGTAGTTCAGACTGGCCTTGAACTCACTATGGAGCCCAGGCTGGCCTTGCACTTAATGGTGATCCTCCTGCCTCAGCCTCCTGAGTGCTGGGATCACAGGTGTGCGCCACCACACCCAGCTTGTCAAGTAGTATTCTTACACTCCTCTTCAAACATAGAAAATGATTCTTAGAGAAGTTAAGTCCTATTCTATCTCAATCCAAACCCTGAGTTATTTATGCGATGCCTTGCTGTCCAGATCAGTCACAATGTACCATCGCCACTTCCTTTTCCTTGACTCTGATACTTGTGGTCAAAAGGCCTTTAAATAGGGTGAAGAGGTGATTCAAATAAAAACCAAGAAAAGTATTTCCCAACTTTTCTGTCCCAGTGTGAAGGAAATAACACTGAAAGATTTCCAGAGAAGTACAGGGAAAGGGGAATCTTAAGGATACCCTAGACCTCTAGGCAAAGTTTAGGATATTCTCAGCTTTACTGCACTTTTAGAGCAGATATCCCAAGTTGACTAAAGTCTTGGTGGATGAAGTATTTTTTATAGGGTTTTTTTTTTTTCTTTGGTACCGGGGATCAAACTTGGGACCTTGAGCTTTCGAGGCAGGCGGCGGAACCACTGAGCTAAATCCCTGGGCCTATTTTTCATAGTTTTAAATTACATGTGAGAATACTCTCCATTGAAGGTAAATTACATTTTCCATTTATCAGGATGAACATGTACCTCCAAATCTATCTTAGCTCTTAGGCACAACTGGCCTTTCCTTGCACCAAAAAGGGAAGATATTGGAAGAAGGGAGGGGGAAGAGAGAAATAAGGTAAAAAATGTTTATGTCATTGCCTCTAGATGCCTTTGTCCCTTAGTTCTGCGATGGAACCCAAGGCCTTGTTGTGTGTGCTCTACCACTGAGCTACACTCAGTCCACCAAATTTTTCTGAAGCCGAAAGAATTAGCCATGTGGCTAAAAGTACAGGAGGTGGTATCAATATTAGGCCTATGAATTTTTTTTTTTTTTTGGTACCAGGGATTGAACTTGGGTTCTTGCACTTGGGAGGCAGGCAGCGGAACCACTGAGCTAAATCCCCAGCCCTGAAAAAAAATTTTTAATAATATAATTGGAAGGTCTAGGATGGGATCAAGCTTTTAATTCTCCCTTAAGATGCCACAATGACAGAAAGCCTGGCCAAGTCTGTTGAGTTAATAAAGAAGAAAGAGCTTCCTGCCAGGGACAAGGGGAAAAACTGAACTCTGGCTTCAAAAACAAAGCCTTGGGCTCACCCGAAGTCTCCATTAAGATTTCCCTTTCCCAAGAAATCTCTCGAGTCTGTAGAAGAGAAACAAGACACCCCCACTTGCTAACCCCAATTTGGCAGGTCAAGGCCTTGAGGGAAATACAGAAATTTAAACGCAGGATCTAATGCAGAGATGTGTTGACTTAGGTTCAGTGGTAAAGTGAAAAAAGACAAAGTACTCTCAAGGAAAGTCCTAGATAAGACTACAGACGAAAATATACAACTAAGGCCCAATACTCATAACCAGGCTTTTTTTTTTGGTACTGGGGATTGAACTCAGGACCTTGGAATGGTGAGGCAGGCAGCAAAACCACTAAGCTAAATCCCCAGTCACAGATTTTCAAATTAAACCTGTACTAACTTCTGCTCTTGGCAGTGACTAGCCACCATAAGTGATGCCTCACACAGATGCAAAAGACTCCAGACCCAGGGAGCCAGGAAACCAATGGCTGGATGTTGTCAATCTTTCTATCCATTCCAGCCAAAACACCCCCAAGAAGAATGTAGTTTCAAGTCCGATCTTTTCCACAAATTACTTGGCAAAGGCCTTGAGTATTTTTCAAAAATAAGGGGCTACAATAGAGATAAGGAAGTAAATTTGCTGGAAAATGTGCTATGAACCTGAACAGGTCCAGGGGACACTGGTTTAGCCAACACCCTTTTGAGTCAAACACAAAAAATTGCCATCTGTTTGCTCCACAGTTGGCACTACGGAGGTCATTAGCCCTTTCTCCCAGATCCCACATCTGTCATCTCAGCCCTGACTCTAAATGAGAACAGAGGGAAAGACTAAAAAGTGTGACAAAAAATGGAGGAGCTGAGGATGTATGTAGCTCAGCGGCAGAGCAAGGGCTTAACATGTACCAAGGCACTGGGCTTAAAACCCCAGCATACACATAAAAGCAAAAAAAACACAAAACAAACCTTAAAGAAACTAATGAGTTTCTAAATAGCACTCTGGCTTCTTATACCATAGTCTTTCCCCTCCAACTTGTAACTAAGCATCTTCTCTCCTCACTCAGTATGGAAAGTAACTGGTATTTTTATATCCTGAATGCTTTCCTTAAAGAATGTTTCTCTCCTACCCAGCGGGGGAGAACAGGATGTTTACTTGAGTGCATTTCATTCTAACGGTGCCCTCTAGTAGCCTCATCTATGCAGCCTCAATGAATTACTACTCAGCAATTTAAACAGCAGCTGGTCAGACCTGTCTAGTTAATCAAGTATGAGAAGCACTCCAACACTCCAAGACCTATCCTGACGATGTTACTATGTCTACACACATGAGGAGGTAACATCCCTGTTTAAACTTAGGGGGAGGCAGCTATGCACACTCAATAACATGCCCAGAAAGGCCAATGAAGGTCTAGATGCTGTTGCTTCCTTAGTGGTATAGACAGGAATCAGGTGGGTAAAGTCCAGGTCCCAAGAAGGGTAAGGAAGAAAGCCTGAGCTAGATTTCAGAAGCAGCGAGTACACTGGTGCACCCTACCTGCTGGGTGTGTTCTTAGGCTATTTTCAGTGTCTTGTGACACATGTAGTTTTAGATAATCAAGGCTGCTATTTAGAGTCTTCTACCCTGCCAGTGACCCAGGCCTGGCCCAGATGCAGTGACTATCTCTCTTTCCCCTTAAAGCCAACATTCCATTTATTGAGCCTCACTAGATTACCGAAGAGAGATGGGATGAGGTAGGAGAGAAGGGTTAAGTATGGCTTCTGCATGATAGATTGCCTATATGCAACAAGAAAAGTAGATATGGGGAAAGAATTGGCCTCCAATTCTGTGCTTGTTTTTTAAAAATGCTTCTTGGTTCACAATTGTACACCTTTTAACAGACACACAAATAATTATACAGTATGCCCCACTTCATTGCCAACCACTTGCCCTGAACATCTTGGTCTCACCCACCCAATACACAGTTAAACAAAGGATCAAACAGAAAACCCATCAGACCACGAAGACTCTAGAGGCTCAGACAGCTCTCAGTGATATTAACTGCAGAAGTCAAAGTGGCCAGCTGGACAACAGCAATGTGAGAGGGTAACAGTCAACCACACAACAAAGAAAACCATACTTTATTAAACTGGAAAACAAAATACTGGGGACAAAGAACTTTTTTTTTTTAATAAAGGAATGGCTGGAAGAGAGGAAAGTGCAAGTGGTCACAAGAAAGGGACGAGATAAATGGCCGGTAGCATCTGTGAGCCACTCTTATCCCCTTCCCCATACATCTTTTAAACCAAAAGCCAATACAGCTGCATCTTCACAGGCAGATCCAGGCTTTTCTCTCTGCATTCTGTAGTTGGTTTCATCTTTAGCCCTAGACAGTCATGTTGGATCTTTGCTGGAGAAAAATTAGGTTTTCCAACCACAGGTCTCCTCCACAAAGCAGCAGTTTCAGCTCCTGGAGAAGCTCCTATTTGCACTCACCAGAGAAGCTGAGGGCCCTTGGTCCAAGCCCCAATCTCAAAAAAAAATGTCAAACCTTTAGAACTAGTTATTTTTATTAAATGATATTAACACACATTTCAAAAGGATTTCATTGTTGTTGCCTCTAAAGCGTGTACTTGTTTCGTTTTCCACACTGAACACGTGAAAATACCAATCCAACATATCTAATTTTACTCTTAACAGGCACCCCCACCAATTAAAAAAGAGGGAGGAGGGAGGAGGGAAGCAGTAATTTACAGCGGCTTAAAACAGTAACAGCTGAAGATTAACTGCATGAACAGGTAACTTCAGGATAGTGAATACTCTGTAATTAGGAAGTTTAGCATATTCACATTATCTAGATAGGTTTGCTGTACCATGTATTATTACAAAGTGTGTTCCTGGTATTGGAAAGGATAAAAGTCCCACTCTGCTCACCTCCCTGGAATCAAACCAAATTCTATTTACCTCAACTCTCGGGAGGGCAGAGGGAAGCAGGGAGGGCTCTCATCTATGCTGGCTGAAGAATGAACTCTTACAACTCTTACAAAATACGTCACGGCCCTATTTCTGATACTGTATAACTAACTTTAAATGGTACTAGAGTGTTCACTAGAATTCTCTATCTGTGATTTTACAGTGAGCACCAAAGACCTTACAACAGCTCATATTCTGCTTTCATATGAATCATGTCCTTGCTAAGATATACTATGCTATGCTTTCTTTAAAAAATATCTTGTTTATTTTTTTTTAACTCAGGTTGAAATACAAAAGTCAGTGCATGGTCACAGTTTTAAATCACAGACACAGAAAGAATAAAACCTCTTTGTTTCATGTTTATGAATACCAGAATTACCTGGTTTCACTATATCACATATATACACTGTCCTCTTCATTTACTGCTGTGGACAGATTTCCCTAAAATTAGTAACTGACAGTCTCATACAAATCCTCACTTTCATCCTGAAACAAATGCTGAGGATTTTGTGGCAAAAACAAAACAAAAATATTCCACAAAAACAAGTTCACCTTTGAACTATACAACATCTTTCGTGTGTCAGCCACCATGTTTTTGGGGACAACCACCCTGGCCCCATATTCAGGAAGCCACTTTCCCGACATCTCAACGTTTCCGATAAAATCAAAGGTTAGAGAGCCTTTTCAAGTAAATACTACATTTAGCTTAAACAAGAGCAGCAGAAAGAATTCACATTCTTGTATTCTAAAATGAAAAACACCCCACTTCATTTTTGAAAGAATCAAATCTGAAAGTCAAATAGAATCCCCCTACCCCACCCCTGTTCTTTGTCTCTCTCTTTTCACTATGTCTTAGGACCCAATGTGTAACTATTTCCTTTGCTTTGCTCTACTGTAGGTCCCGTCCCACACGGAAGGTCATGGTATCATGTATTTTTGTGGGGACAGCTATAGGACAGTGGCTTGAGAGGGTCAGAGAAACAAAGAACAGCTGGCTTAAAGCCAGGTGAGCATTGGGAAGATGAATGGCTTGTCACACCCTGACCACACACAGGAACACAGGGTGAGCCCAAGTAAACAACATGGAACACATTACAGAAAACTCCCAAGCTAGGATGCACACCTGGCTTGGCTGCTTTTTCTCTGAAAAGCAAGTTTATTCTAAGACAAAGAACAGTCTTGTTACATTATCCAGCCTCTCCCATTTTTTTTTTTTTTGGTACTAGAGATTGAACTCAGGTACTTGCGCTTGCGCAGCAGTCGGCGAAACCACTGAGCTAAATCCCCGGCCCCAGCCTCTCCCATTTTTAAAATTCCACCCCCTTACTTCCCTAGTTGGTTCTATACTAAGCTGGCAGAAAATACATGAACTTGCTAGGATGTTTTACTCATCTAGCTGGAGATTTACAATTCAGTGGGGTGAAACACTGAATTAAAGAAATGTAGTAAGGAGTTATTTGCTTTTCGGTGCCCCTTGACCCAAAGATATAAACAAAGTACAGTGCTTGTCTTTTCCCAAGTACTAGGTGTAGAAATATAAACAAGCCTTTTAGTCCAGGGAGAAGGAAAGCACTTCTCTCTCCTGTAAAATGACTAAGGGCAGAAACATTCTTTACTTCCTGTTGGGGCGGGGATAAGGTTAGTCCCTTGAAATTTGGCAGGCTGCTTGTTATCTGTGGAGTGGAGTCAATCTAGAGTTATCAGTTTCCTTGTTTCTCAGTAAAGACATGCATGGAATGCCCACCTGTTTCTAAGACACATCTAAAGAGGTATACTATAAAGATACTACTGAGTCTCTTTCTTTGAAATACCAAGAATAGGGGTGCATACAGGACTGAGGCAAGGGGAGAAGATAAAGACAAATGTTTTCCTTTTTCTAAGTGTTAATCCTTGCTGAAAACCACCAATAAATATTGCATTAGGGAGGCATCATGGTAACATTAATGTCTAATTCTTTTATTAAAAGATGCAGGGATAATATTTCAGTTGAACCTTTGTATTAATGGCCAACTGTAGTGACTTTCTAGCCAAAAGAGAAGTAAAAACTGAGGAAGAGCAAAAAAGTCCAGGGGAAAAAAGAGGCAAGAGCATGGCACAAGATTTGTGGAAAACTATTTCTTGCTTAAAAGGACAGCCAGGTTATACCACACCATTAACAGTTCCTTTCCTAGCTTTATATATTGTACTTGCTCCTTATTTTCACCCTGAATTTACATTTAGCCTCTTCTCTTTCACTCCAAGAACAAAGACAAAAAATTTCTACTAAGAATAAGGTTTGTAATGCCTCAAAGTTACTGCTGGATAGTACTTTGGAGGAAGAGGCTGATTTAAAAGAAAATTAAGATGTTAGGAGAAAGGTACAGAACTAAACTTCCACGTGCCTTAAAAAAAAAAAAGGAAAACAAGTAAGCCTGACAGGCCCAAGGTCTCCCATGCTTCCCGTCCCTTGGCTGTCAGCAGTATAGAGCCCTGGAGGGAGCCACACTGGGGACAGCGGTCACTAAGCTCGAGGGGGAAGGACACAGGAGCCCTTCCACTGACTACTGGATGGGCAAGGCCCAAATAACACCCCAACATTGCACGTTATCATCTGTACTGATGGAAGTTTTATTTCAAATGTAGTAAATAGTCTTCAGTAGATGGGATGAAATAAAGATTGTTTTCCTCCCACTCCCCAAGTCCCCAGCCATATGAAGTGGCTTTGGTTGTGGGTTTTTTTCTCCCCCCCAAATACAATCAACTCAGGGAAGGTAGTAAGTGCAGTGGGAGGGAGGACTTGATGGAATAGTAAAATGTAGGCATGTATAACTTTTCAGTTTGGGAGGAAGGTCCTTACCATAATAAAAAATAAGGCAAGGGAGGGAAAACAAATAAAAACAACAACAAACCAAACTCCTACTTCCAAGGCTCTCTAGACTCTTCCAAATGCTTTTCCCTTGGTTTCCATCAGTACCTGGGAGGGAAGAATGGGCGTTTTGGTGCAAAGAACGGAGGGCCCCTAGCAAAAGGTGGCCTGGGTCTCTTTAAACTGTGGAATGGGTCTCTGCTGAGAAAAGGTTCCCTAGGCCGAAAGTCTGGCCGGGGACTCCGTAAAATCATACCACTCCGGTTGATGGTGTCTCTGTGTGAGGGACCCAAGGGGGGGCCACTGCTGCTGCTGCCCCCCACACTGCCTCCGCCATGGGCTGCACCCAGGTGCTCCAGAGGGTGGGAGGATAGGCTCAGGCTCTCTCGTACACGGCTAAGGCCAGGGGCGTTGAGGTCCCGTTGCGGCGGGGCCCCATGGTCCCTGGGTCCTGGGAGCACGCCAAAATGCTCAGCCAGGGTCCCCTGAAGAAGGGAACTATGGTCCTTGGGAAATACTGCCACAGGCCCTGCCACTCCGTGCTCTGCCAGTGGTGGGGTTGGGAAGGGCACAACTCCAGAGTGGTCAACAGGAGGTGGAGGTGGCGGAGTAGAAAAAGGGACACCACTTCCACCACTGCTGCTATGTTCCCCAGGGGGTGGAGGAGGGGGCGGGGCAGGGAAAGGAACTCCGCTGTGCTCTCCAGGAGGAGGCGGTGGGGCAGCATGGGCCAGGGCTGCTTCCTTTGTGAAAGGGTTCGAAAGATCCACAGAGGGCAGATGAGCAGGTGCATCTCGAGAGAAGATACCACCATGATCCTTAGGAGGGGCAGGTGGGGCAGGTGACGGCCCCACTGGCTCTCTCTGGAAGGGTGTCCCATGTTCCAAGGGGGACGGGGGGAGATGGTGCTCAAATGTTGAGTTGAAACTGTTGGAACGAAAGCTGCCGACACTCTCCTGAAACTGGGGTGCCCGTTCCTTGTAGGGTGTTTTAAAGCCAGTGAGTCCTCCGCTGCCCCCACCCCCAAGGGTTGCCAACTCAGAGGCACTTGAGGGGCCATTGTCAAAAGAGCTGCCTGATGTGCTTAGATCAAACCAACCCACCCTTGATGCCTCTCGCCCATGTCCTCTATTTCCCTTCCCAGGAACTCGGATGGACTCTACGGTCTGTATTGGCTCCCCTGACATTCTCCTATTGGCTGCGTTATGATAACCCAGAGTTTCTATAGGGGCCCCCTTTTCTTCGGTGCTATCAGGCAAGTCTAGACAGGAGGAGGAGACGCGGGTTTCTATGCGGTAGTGCTCTTCTTGTTGCTGCTGATCAGAGGTGGGCAGGCTGGGCTGGGCGAGGCTGGACAGACTGACACCATCACCGGAAGTGCCCTTGTTGGGGGTTTGGCCAAAATGCTTATCATCTGAGGGCTTGCGTGAGGCGTTTTTAAGCATATTCTTAAACTCAATTGTCGATGTGGTGGAAATGGTGGAGGACAGGACTTTCTCCACGCCTGATGTGGGTGGATGGCCCGTGGGAGCAGCAAGGGTATTCTGCGGAGAGAAAAGGGAACGATGTGGGACTGGGTGAGGAGAGTCTGGGTACTGCTTCTGTGGCAAACTGAGGTGCCCAGTGGCAGACTGAGACAAGCTATTGTGGTTGGAGTCAGGGGCAAAAAATGAATCATTCTTACTCGGTGATGGTGACCGGTCAGACCCAGGTTCATTCCCTCTTATGCTGAAGGTACCAAATAGCCCAGGGGAGGATGAGAGACGCTCACAGTTCTCACTAGAGTCCAAGAGGGCCCTTACAGATGGAGGGAATGCAGACTTTACCCCAAATTCTGGGGCCCTGTGGCTATAATTGGACAGGATTGGCTGGTACTCGGTGGCATCAGAAAGCTTGGCTGACTTCAGGATAGATTTGGCTGGTTTCTTCTCTAGGTTCATCATGGCAGAGGGTGGAGGCCCTGAATACTCAAAATCTCGATAATCCTCATCTTCTTGGAAAGAAGTATCTGGATAGAACTTTTCCTGAGAAGAGTCCATCAGGGAAGACGGTCTCTCCATTCCATCAGAAGGCTGCTTATAGGGAGATTCACTGCCCAGGCCAAAGGGTCGATATGTAGATACGGAATTGGAGAGCTCCCGGGGATAGCTTTCATCTCTCCCAGGGGGTGGTGATCTTGTACTGCTGGGTGTTGAGGAACCAGGGCTAATGATCTTAGAAAGCAGGGACACAGTATCTACACTGCTTGATGTGGGCTTGTCCATCATCTCATCCTGGGTGGGAGTCCCACTCCGTTCATCCCGTACAGGGGTTCCGTCAATGTTGTCGATTGAGGTGCTAGTAGGGCCACGCTGGAAGTCTGAGGGGTGGCTCTCTGATGGGGCACTGGATCCCAAACTGCTCAGGATTGGGATGTTTAAATTTAAGCCACTGAAACCAGGATTACCTTTTAAGAAGTTGTGGATCTTCATTTCCAGACTTGGGGAGGTGGACTCAGACTCCAGCTTTGGCTTGGAGCTCTCTGAAGATTGGCACATGGCAACTTCAGTAGGTGGGGCAGCAGGGCTAGTACTGTGGGTACCAGTAAACCCCAGAGAGTTGGACGGTAGTTTGAAAGTAGTGCTTGGAAGCCCTGGGCTTTGCCCTATTGATGCCTTGATGGCTGAAGTTGAAGAGACTTCAGAAGTTGATGAATTAGGAGAATAGTTGAAACTTTTGGGAATAAAAGACTGGGTATTGGAGGGTGCATTTCTTCCCTTTACAGAAGAGACTGTGGTGTTGGCAGGAGAAGCTGAAGTGTTCTGGGATGTAGCTTCACTGGCTGGGGCTGGGTTCCCAGTAACACTCTGAAGCAAAGATGACAGGCCTGAAGAAACAAAGATTATAGGGGTTAACAAGAACTCCCTACATATGATAAAAACAATGTGGACTCATTATTCAAATTCATTCCGGTGGGAACCAGATAGACTTTAAAATACAAAGCCAAAGGGAATCCAGACCAAACAAGCCACGGCTAAATGTCACTGAAAACATTGGACTTATTTATCAATCAAAGAACAAATCACTGAAATGTTTCCAGTACAAGCCAGAAACAAGTTTAGCTCAGCAGAATAAAAAGCAGCCAGAAGGAAGAGATTTTAATGTCAGAATCAGTCAGTTTAAATAAGGCAAAGCAGGAAAAGAAAGGAAGCAAAATTAATCTTAAAACAACAATTCAAGTCAGTATTTAACGTTTGATCTGTGGAAATGCTTCTCTCAATGCAAATGGACATCCTACCCTATCGATCCTTTCCAGGTTCCACAACTGACTCTAATAAGCAAATATACACTGCTATTCTTACAAAGGAGATAGGTATGAAAATTTCACAAATTTACTTGAAAAAGAAGTATTTCTTGCTACACTGGTGTTATTTGGGAAACAATGCTTGCAACTATCAGTGCTGTTTGTAAAATGTAGTAGTAATAAACAAACATACACTACTAAGACAAAGGCAGAACAAAAAGGGCACTGATCCTTTCACAAGAAAACATACAATTCCCATTTTATAGCTTGGAAAAATCTAAGGACTGTTGATTAGTTTAAAGCTGAGACAAGTGTGAGTCAACCCTATTCACTCATGGACAAAACCTGCTCATAAGCAGAGAGAAAGAATTCTTTGGGGCAAAGGCTAAAATTCACCAAGGCAAACTGTTCCTGTAGAAAATGTTCTAAAAAATATTTGATGGGGTAATAGAAGATCTTATCAATTCAATCATATTTGCAAAATTTATCTAATTTCTGGTCATAAATAAACAATACAAATTTCACCCAGCTAGGTGTATGCTTTGTGATCCTCCTGACTGGGCTTCCAAGTAGCTGGGATTGTAGGTGTGTACCATCACACCTGGCTCGGATCTGAAGAATTTTAAGGTCCTATCATCCTTGCAATGTTTTTAAGTCATGTACTTTTAAATAAGGCTCCCTTATTTGTCTTTTTTTTTTTTTTTGGTACCGGGGATCCAATGCGGGTCCTTGCTCTTGTGCAGCAGGCAGCAAAACCACTGAGCTAAATCCCCGGCAATCTGTCTTGTTTTTGAGACAGGGTCTTGCTCTGTAGTTCAGGCTGCCCTTGAACTCACTCTGTAGCCCAGGCTGATCTTTTTTTTTTTGGTGGTGGGGATTGAACTCAAGTCCTTGCGCTTGTGTAGCAGGCGGTGAAACCACTGAGCTAAATCCCCAGCCCGAGCCCAGGCTGATCTTGAACTTCCAGCAGTCCTCCTGCCTCAGCCTCTGGAGTACTGGGATTACAGGCAGGAGTCGCCACATCCAGCTTGAGGCTGCCTGGGTTTTAACTGTTATCCAATCATCTAGTATCAGTATTTAATAATACCCAAAAATGGAGTGTTAACTTCAGTTATCTTTTTTTAAAAAAACTTATCTTTCTTTAAAAAAAAAAAGCATGCTTCATTCCAAAGTTTCCTTGCTATATAATTTCCCCCTCCTGTTTAATTCCTAGTAGTCACTATTCTCATCAAATCTAGAAGTCCTCAAGCACAAGAATGCAGTAAAGATAGTCATATGACTGTCTGGTTTTTTTTGGACAGGATCTTGCTGTGTTGCCCAGGATACCCTGAACTTGTAGCCCTCCAGGGCAGCTACATCCCAGGCTGGCCTCGAACTTGTGATCTTCCTGCTTCACTGTGTGCACCACAGTGCCTGGCTTCTGTCTGCTTTCATGTTTTATAATTCTCTAAAGCAAGGTTATGGATGATAAATATAAAGAGAATCCTATTCCCTTTTTTTTTGGTACCAGGGATCGAACTCGGGACCTTGCGCTTTCGAGGCAGGTACCGGAACCACTGAGCTAAATCCCCGGCCCCAATATAAAGAGAATACTGAGTTAACTGTATTATACATTTCATGGCTTTGGCTTCCTCAGAAATGGAATCCAGGATTAAGCCGGAGACAGACATTCACCATTCAAGTCCCTTTGGCACTTATCTTTTTACCTTGCAGTGCAGGGGCTGACTGTGTCTGAGTTTTGGAAAGAGCAGACAGAATGCTCTCAGGGGTGATCTCCACCTTCGAGAGGATATTTGCCAGAGGGTTGTGAGGGGTGGTTGTGGCAGGCGCAGGTGTTTTCAGGCCGCTGGTGAGGTTGCTGGGACTGGTAGGAGTTCCTGGAGAGGGTCTTGATGCAGGACTGACCCCTGGTGGCAGAAAGATGAACTCAAAACAATGCAATTTCAAAATGACCTTTCCATTCACTTTCTTCTATGACTGACCTGCAAGGGATTCCTTATCATGGTATGTACCAACAGAAAGTCTGAAAATTAGATCAAAACCTGCCTCTTGAGTTACTTTCACATATACTCATTATTTTTGAGAGCTCCTGTAAGAAGAGAACAGGCCACCTACTTTTTTTTTTTTTTTGGTACCAGGGATCAGACTCGAGTCCTCACACTTTCAAGGCAGGTGGTGGAACCACTGAGCTGAATCCCCGGGGCCCAAGGCCACCTACTTTTTTGTTGGCCAAGTGGCACCTACACTTCAGAGCCCAGCAGTGCTCAGGACACACTGCAACTGCAGAACTCTCTGTGTGCTTGCTAAGTGATTTGCTTTTTTTCTTTCTGGTACCAGGGATTGAATGCAGAAACTTGAGCACAGCGCCACTGAGCTAAAGCCCCGGCCTCCATCAGTGACTGCTTTTGAAATGGCCTTTAAAATGCTTCTTTTTTTTTTTTGGTACTGGGGATCAAACTCGGGTCCTTGAGCTTGCGCAGCAGGTGGTGAAACCACTGAGCTAAATCCCCAGCCGGCCTTTAAAATGAAATTATATAAGCAACCTCCTTTACATTTTTCCATGGTTTTTTTGGTACCAGGAATCGAACTCAGGACCTTGCACCTACAAGGCAGGTGGGGGAACCAAGCCAAATTCCCAGCCCTTTCCATGTTTTTTCTTAAAAACACTGGGTTGGGTAGGGCCAAAGATTTAGCTCAGTGGTTCTGGCACCTGCCTTGCAAGCGCAAGGTCCTGAATTCGATCCCCAGTACCAACAGTAACAAGAAAAACACTGGGTTAAGGGGCCAAGGATTTAGCTCAGTGGTTCCTCTGCCTGCCTCACAAGCACAAAGACCCGAGTTAGATCCCTGGCACCAAAAAAAAAAAAAAAAAAACCAGGATAAAAACTATAAACAGATATTTAACAAATTTAAGTGATAAGCAAATGAAAAAAATTCAACAATATCTTTAATTAATTTAAGAATACATATTAAAGCAAACAACCTTTTCATTTTGGGGCAGTGCTGTATTGTATACTAGGCTACATTCCTAGCCCTTTTTAATATTCTGAGATAAGGTCCTGCTAAGTCACTAAGTTGTCCAGGCTCTAACTTGTCATCCTCCTGCCTTAGCTGCTCAGAGTTCTGGGATTATAGATGTACACCACAGCACCTGGCTACAAACAATATTTTAAAGTTGAATATGATATGGATTAAACAAAGCAAACAGTGGAGAGGATAGAAAACAATGGAAACTTTCACATACAATTACACAAAATAGTACCTTTTTGGATATTACCTTAGTTATGACATATGAAAAGTTGTTAAAAACCTACATGCTGAGTTTGAGTCTTTGTTTTAGAAACACATATTTTTAAGTATTTATGATGAAATGAAACAATTGGGATTTTCTTCAGAATAATCCAAGGTGGGCAAGGAATACATGAAATGAAATTTGTCATAGCTATCCTGCTGCAGCTGAGTGAGGAGTACATGGCGGTACTCTACTTCCCACTATGCACTTCAGGATGGCCTTGAACTCCTGGTGGCCCTCCTGCCTCAGCCTCCTGAGTGCTGGTTTGAAACACGGACTTGCTGTGTAGTTCAGGCTGACCTTCAACTCATTATGTAGTCCAGGCTGGTCAGCAATCCTCCTGCCTCAGCCTCCTTCATGCTGGGATCACAGGCATGTGCCACCACACCTGGCCATCCAGTTCCTTCTTTTGTTTTTGGTACCGGGGATCGAACTTGGGTCCTTGCGCTTGCGCAGCAAGCAGTGAAACCACTGAGCTAAATCCCCGGCCCCAGCTCCTTCTTTTGTAAAGTCAGTAAGTTGCTCAGTCTGGATTCAAGTTTGACTTCCTCTTGCCTCAGCCTCCCAGAGTACTGGGATTACAAGCCACGAACCACCATGTCCAGTCTCATATTTTTTAACAAGATTTAAGAAAACCAAATAAAAAAAAAGACTTGATGGCTCAATTAAAAAATGAAAATCAGCATTTTATCCTCTTCACTGGGCTTACTTACCAGTATTTTTCATGACTGAAGTCAGGCTGCTAAGGATGGAACTGATCTTTGCTAGATCCACATTAGCCAGGTTTGGCAAAGTCAAAGCTGGGGACGGGGACAGAAGAGACGTATTCACAGGCTTTGGAAGAGGGGGAGTTGCTGTCATGGTCACAGGCACTGGAGCACACGAAGAGGCCTTTGAGACACTTTCTGTTGGCTTTGTAGGTACGGAAGTGGAGACAGCTGTCTTCTCCACAGGTTTATCCTTCCTGTCCTCCACTGTTTGAACAAAGAAGAGATGATATTACACCCTCCTGCCTTCCAGACTTTGCTTCCAATACAAAACAGTGTGTCCTAATCTTTCTTTTTTTTTTCCACTGGGGACTGAACTCAGGACCTTGCTCTTGCCAGGCAGGCACTTGTGCCACTGAGCTACATCCCTGGCCGGTGTCCTAATATTTCTTGATTTGAGGGTAAAAAACACTATACTCAAGAGAAACAACCGCTCACTTTATGCCCTATTTGTCTGTCAGTTTAGTGGCACTGGGGATTAAACTAATGTAGGGCCTTCACACTGAGTTACATCTGAAGTCTTTTTACTGTGAGGCAGGGTCTGCTAAGTTATTAAGTTGCCCTGGCTGGGCTCAAACTTGTGATCCTCCTGCCTCAGCCTCCCAATGTGAGGATTACAGGCATTCTCTCCACTGCCCAGCTGAAGTTTTTTGTTTTGTTTTGTTTTTGTAGTCATACCCTCATAATTTATGATCATTCTACCTTCAGTAACTACTTAAAAGGAATTTCCCAATCATCGTGTATTTTATTTTTAATGCTTCATTTGCATCTTCTTAGTATTCACGTATTAGGTATTTCTGGAATAGGAGGGAGAGAGACCAAGGAGGAAGACGAAGATGCTGGGAAAAAGGGAGGAAAATGATGAGACAAATAATAAAAGAGTGCTGCTGGAGCAACACCCCCAAATATAAGATAAAATGCTAAAGTGTGCATTCCCAGAAACATTATTATTACATGATATATACCTGTGTTGTTTTTGGGAAATGACATTTATCATAAATTGTTCTTTTTCCATTGACTTGAAAACTTTCTTAGTAACAAAAACTCTGTGGGTACTTTTTGAATTTTTTCTGGCTTACTGAAATTGCTCTACTGAGGCCCCTTAGGCCCTGACTAACCTGAAGCCCCACTGTTTCACCTTTCATAGCTTCACAGTACGTTCCTTTTAATGCTTTAAAGGCTGCATGGTGAATGTATGAATTCAAGAAAAGTCAAACTACCTAGTAAGAATAAAAAAGGAAAACTGCTGATTTCAGAGAAATAATTCACCAGTGGAGTAATTCTGAAAGTTCATTTCACACACTGTAGCTTTGGGTTGTGCTTTAATGTGTGTGTGAGCACACTCATGTGTTTTCCCCCAGTACTGGGGATTGAATTCAGGGACTACTGAGCTATATATCCATAGGCCTTTTATTTCTCTTTTTGGTAATGGGGATCGAACTCAGGTCCTTGTGCTTGCAAGGCAAGCGGCAGAACAACTGAGCTAAATCCCTGGCCCTGGTCTTTTATTTTTATTTATTTATTTATTTTTGGTACCGGGGATCGAACTTGGGTCCTTGCACCTGCAAGGCAGGTGGTGAAACCACTGAGCTAAATCCCCAGGCCATGGCCTTTTAAAAAATAAAAATTTTTTAAATTCTGAGATCTGAACCCAGGGCCTTCATATTAAGCTATATGCCCTGTCCATTTTTTATTTTATAGTTTGAGACAGGGTCTCGCTAAGTCACTACATTGTCCAGGCTGGGCTCAGACTTGCAATCCTATTGCTTCAGCTTCCTAGAGTACTATAATTACAGGCATGTACCACAATGGCCAGTTCCTTTTTTAAGTCTCATTAAATTGCCCAGTCTTGCCTTGAACCTGCAATCCTTTTTGCCTCAGTTGCCCAGAGATGTGGAATTGCAGGCCTGCACCACCATGCCCAGTTAGCTGTTCCAATTTTAGTATATGCACTGCTGAAGCAAGCAACCCAGCTAGCTGTTGAATCCTTGGCAGTCAAGAGTGCCAAAGAAGGGCCGGGGATTTAGCTCAGTTGTTCCATCGCCTGCTTTGCAAGTGCAAGGTCCCGAGTTCAATCCCCAGTACCAAAAAAAAAAGTGCCAAAGCCACCAGGTATGGTGGCACATGTCTATAATCTCAGGCCTCAGGAGGCTGAGTCAGGAGGATCCCCATGAATTCAACCAGTCTGGGCTACATAATGAGTTGAAGGTCAGCCTGAACTACACAGTGAGACCTTGCCTCCAAAACCAACAACAAGAATGTCAGAGAATGGGGAATTCCAGTATAAGTGACCCCCAAGAGCAGGGCTGGCCAATAAAAATATAATTCATTCCATATAAATCTAAATTTTCTTGCAGCTACATTAAAAAAGAAAAAGGAAAAAAGGCTAATTATGTAGCTCAGTGCAAAGACCCCACTGGATTCAATCCTCACTATCAGAAAACAAAAGCAAACAAACTGCATTTCAAATGCTTAAGTTACACATAGCCAGTGGCTGCTTTACTGAACCGTGTTGATCTTCTGACTTTTTTTTTTAGATGTGTATTTTGTTTGTTTTTGGTACTGGGGATCGAACTTGGGTCCTTGAGCTTTCGAGGCAGGGAGCGGAACCACTGAGCTAAATCCCCGGCCCTTCTGACTTTTTTTTGGTACTGGGGATTGAATCCAGGGCCTTCCCCTTGAGTTATATCTCTACGCTTTTTTTCCAATGTTTTATTTTATTTATTTATTTTTTTTGGGTACTGGGGATCGAACTTGGGACCTTGCGCTTGTGAGGCAGGCACCAGAACCACTGAGCTAAATCCCTGGCCCTTCAATGTTTTATTTTGAGACAGGGTCTCCCTAAGACACTAAATTGCCCAGGCTGAAGTTAAACTTAGAATCCTCCTGCCTCAGCCTTCCAGTGTGCTAGGATTACAAGTATGTGCCTACTTTTTTTGGGGGGGAGGGGGGGTACCAGGGATCGAACTTGGGACCTTGTGCTTGCGAGGCAGGCAATGGAACCATTGAACTAAATCCCTAGCCCCAGTTAACTTTTTTGAGAAGGGGTCTCACTAAGTTGATGATGTTGGCCTTGGTTCAAAATCCTCCTGTCTCAGCCTCCTGAGAAACTGGGATTACGTGTATGCACCATTATATCTGCTAACAGTGTTGATCTTGAGCAATAATTCTTCTTTCCTTCTTTTTTTTAGTGCAATGCTGAGGATTGAACCCAGGGATCGATGTGTGCTAGGCAAGTGTACTGAGCTACATCTCCAACCTTGATAATTCTTTTTTTTTTTTTTTTTTTTTTATTTTTTTTTTTTGAGATAAGGTCTTACTATGTAGTCTAGGCTAGCTCTGAACTCACTTTGTAGCACAGGCTGGCCTTGAATTCATGATCCTCCTGAGTGCTGGTATTACAGGTGTGCACAACCTTAGCTGTCTGAGCAATGATTTTATTTGTTTTCAGACAGGGTCTCACTATGTAGTTCAGGTTGGCCTTGAGCCTACTATGTAGCCCAGGCTGACAATCCTGCCTCAGCCTCCCAATGTAGAAATTACAGGGATGCGCCACTACACCTGGCTATGACAATAATTTTTTCTTTTTGTATTGGGGATCAAACTCAGGACCTCACGCTTGCCAGGCAAGTGCTGTGCTGTTGAGCTAAATCCCCGGCCTTTTTTTTTTTTTTTTGAGACAGGGTCTCAATATGTAGTTCAGGCTGGCCTCAAACTCTCAGTGATCCTCCTGCCTCAGCCTCCCAAGTGCTGGGATTACAGGTGTGTGCCACCATGCCCAGCTTCAAGCAATGATTCTTAACTACGGGGCATACCAAATCCTAAACTGCTAACTGTTCTCAAGACAATAATGCTACTCTGATGTTCTAATTACCTGATGTTCTGAACTATCTTTTAATACCTGCCTATGAGTGATTAGTGGGTGGGAAAGCAAAGTTGGTGAGGAATAAGTTGTCTACGAATCACATAAGGACACACCGATGATTTTGGACCCATCATCTTCTACGTCTGAGAGCTCCATGTCTTCCACATCCCGATTGTCTGTCACAGGCTCAGGTGTGGCAGATTTCTCACTACCCACAGTTGGTGACTGGGACTCCTCGCCTCCCATTCCTTGGAATGGAGACTCGGAGCCAGTTGGGGAGGGAGCATCCATACTTGGGGAAGGGACTGGTGATTCTTCAGGATCAGGAAGGGTTGACTTTAACTGATCCAATTTCTTCTTTAAATTGTTTACTCGGTTAGCAAAGGTTTTGTATGCCTGAAAGAGATAAAAGAGTTTATTCATTTTTACTTAAACAGATTTCCTCACTGACAATATCACTTGCACAAAACAAAAAAATAACATCATTTGTAACACGTGGAATAGTGTTTTTCTGTGATAACAGAGACTGAACCCAGGGCTTCTGTATTGAGCTACAACCCAAAACTCTTTTTATTTTTTATTCTGAGACAGAGTCTCAGTAAGTGGACATATTGCCAAGGCTGCGCATGAACTCATGATCCTTCTGCATGAGCCTGCCAGAGAGCTGGGATTACAGATCCACACTACCATGTGGAGCCTAAGCGTTTCTAGTCTCTGCTTTGTGTACTTCTAAGTGAATCTTGCCATCCAAACAGCTGCCTGAGTTATAAATCTAAAGGTTATCTGTAATCCCTCACTTCCACCTGTCCACTCAACCAAGCATTATTTATTCTGTGGTACTAGGGATTGAACCTTGGGTCATTACATACAGCTACATCTCTAATCCTTGTTTCTATTTTTGAGACAGGGTCTCGCTAGGTTGCTAAGCTCCCCAGCCTGGGCTCAAACATGTGATCCTCCTGCCTCAGCCTTCCAGAGTACTGGCATTACTACTGTGTGCTACCAAATCTGGCTCCAAGCAATATTTACTAAGAACTTCAATGTGCTGGCAATTATTCTAGAACTGAAAATATGGCAATGAGAAAGAAAATAGACCAAAAAATCAAATTAAAAGAAAATAAACAAAATACTACACTGAGCTGGGCATTGTGGTGCATTCCTGTAATTCTAGCACTCTGGGAAGCTGAGGCAAGAGGATCACAAGTTCAAGCCCAGCCTGGGAAACTTAGTGAGATCCTGTCTCAAAATTTAAAAATTAAAAATAGGCTTGGGTTGTAGCTCGGTGTGAAGGCCAGGAGTACAGCCATATGCAGAAATAAATAAATAAAGGGCCGGGGATTTAGCTCAGAGGTTCTGCAAGCACATGGACCTGAGTTTGATCCCCGGTACCAAAAAAAGAAAAGAAAAATAAATAAATAAATATTTAAAAGTTAGGGGTGCAGTTCAGTGGTAGGGTGCTAGTATAATATGCATTAAGTCCCTGGGTTCAATCCTTAGTACTGTAAAAAGAGGAAGAAGAAAAAAAAAGGTGGGCCAGAACTGATTAATAATTTTTCCTTGATGATATGTCCTGCATTCTCATGATGATTAGGAGGGAAGTTAGGCCAGGCAGAAAGCCTCAGATATTAAGGAAGTCTAGTGCTGACAAGACAGACAATGTCTTGAATCCAAATGATGCCATGGAGAAGAGGACCTAGAAATAACTTCAGGATCTAAGTAAGAAAGTCCACATCCTTGAACTGGGTAAGATAAAGCTTACCCAAACTGCAGTTCAGATTCAGATCAGTCCCTAGAAATACCTGCTAGCAAAAGAGAGAGTGAATCCTCTCTGGGGAAAGAGAAATCAGCCAGAGTCTCTACAATCTTTTATATACAACATTCTTCATACAATAAAAAATTAGGCAAAGAGATAGGTTTATTTTTTTTAAAAATTTTTTTGGTATCGGGGATCAAACTTGGGTCCTTGTGCTTGCGCAGCAGGCGCCGAAACCGCTGAGCTAAATCCCCAGCCCTGAGACAGGTTTAAATGACTGAAGAAGCTGGGCATGGTGGCACACACCTATAATTCCAGTACTTGGGAGGCTAAAACAGGAGGATTGCCTCAAGTCTGAGGCCAACCTGAGCCACATAGTGAGTTCAAGGCCAGCCTGAAATGCATAGTAAGACCCTGTCTCAAAAAATAAACAAAAAGACTTCCGGTGTCATGGTGCCCAAGCGAGTGTCTCAAGTCGGGTGCTGAGAGCCCCTGGTGGGGCTGGACTGCGTTCTGTCTCTTCTGCTGGCTGCAGGCTGCATGGGAAGGACTCCGGGGACCGGAAGCAGGGACCTTTGAGGATGTGGCTGTGAACTTCACCAGGGAGGGGTGGGCTTTGCTAGATCCATCCCAAAAGAAGCTCTACAGAGATGTGATGTGGGAAACCTTTAGGAACCTGGCTGTCACAGGAAGAAACTCAGGTGATCAGCAAACTGAAGATGAGAAGAAAACTTGCAGGAAAAGTCTAAGATTTTCCTCCATTCTTACAAAGAAAATTTAAGCACCAAGAACACTGATCTCTACCAAAGCCGTAAACCTCATAGTAATCATTTCTCCCATGGTGAGGGGCACATGCTGGCATCGGTACTTCACACATCACAGACATTAAGTTCAAATATGCTGCTCATGACTAATGATTTTATGCGTCTTAGAGACACTGAACACAACAATGTCAATAAGTCTACCATATACTAGCACATAAAGCATTCCTATGTAAATAAAATAGAATCAAAATTATTGCATGGATATTATGAGGTCATAGGGCAATGACACTAGAAATGCCAGAAATGTATAGAAACTATGAGAACTTGAGAATATAATCTTCTATTAATAAATCTCAGAAGAAATTAAAGAAAACATGAGTTTCTAGAGTCCAGTTATAATACCATTTGTAGGAAAATGGAAGTACCTTGAGATCATAATATTAAGTGAAGTAAATAAGACACACAAGCTTAAATAATACCTGGTTTCTCATAAATGAGAACCACAATACATAACTGAAGTGCAGAATAAAAGATAGGCAGTACGAAAAATCAGAATGAATGCTTGGCATGTGGGTAGTGAACTGAGAGACAGGAGGAAGGAAGGGAGGGAAATGAGATCAGAAAAGAGTGACAGATTGTGAAGTTCTGTGTATATGCATCAAGTCCCTATCAAGAATGTGCTCATCACGTACTACAAACATACTGTAACTATATACAAAGAGGTCCAGTGGATTCGGGGGGGGGGGAGGGTTAAAACCATATTACAAATTATGTACATGTGCTAACTCCTCACCATACATGTAATCATCTATAAACTTGTACTACCAAGAAACAATTTAACAATTAAAAACATCGGACTTGGGCCGGGGATTTAGCTCAGTGGTTCCGCTGCCTGCTTTGCAAGGCAAGGTCCTGAGTTCGATCCCCGGTACCCGCCCCCCTCAAAAAATTGGACTCTCAAGCTTAAATATCACATGGTCTGTCGTACATGAGCAACTAAAAATAAAAATAATTTGAAGAGAAACATACAAAATACATAGTAGAAAACAAAGAGAAAGTTCTTTTTCCAGAGTTTGGTCAAGAGATAAATGGAGGGAGAAAGATGGAGAAATGGATGAAAAAAGATGAAGATGTGTTATGCATATGTACCAACTTTCCACGATGAATGTGATTATTATGTACTGTGAACATTTACTAATACAAAAAAATACTAAAAAAGAAAAAATAAACAAAATCCCAACAAAACAAATGAAGAAAAAAAGGCACTAGAAATATACCCATAAGAGGTAAAGCCAACATAAGAATTACTGAGCAAAAACAAAACAACTATGATTAATATTCATGAATATTTTAAAGAATCTCTTCCCTTTCCTGAGTAATGCAATGCAAAACCCATTTGGTTAGGGCTGAGAAGAAAGTCTGTGGGCAGGAGGCATTGAAAGGGATACTGTAGCCTAAGAAGGACATACAGAAAGCCCACAGAAGTGGCTGGAGAGGGGCAGAAATGCTGGGTGACTGGCTACCCACAAGGGGACTGATCAAATACCTGTACCAAGCCTTATATTAATTTTTGCTCCAAAAGACTCAACAGGGCTCATTTTCAAGAGGTCTTGTGTTTTCATGTACAAATTACATTTATCCACGTACAACAAACTATACTTACTCATTTATTCCTGTAAAGAAATCTGTATCTAATCAAATAGTCATGTCATCCTCTGGAACACTGTCATAATTCAATAGGTCCATTGTGTATGGTAATGGGTGGATGACATGCGCCTGACTGGCTGACAATCTTAACTGGGCTTACTTTTGGGGCAGGGCTTATATTATGAACATTCTGAAAAATCAGGCTAGGGCTTATTTTCTGGGAGAATAGGGTAACACCTTGAAGAGGAGTAATGTTTTGCTTGTACTGTAAAAGCAATTAGAAATTTAAAAAGGGAAAGGCTAGGGATGACTAACTCAGCAGTACAGCACTTGCCCAGCATGCACAAAGCCCTGGGTTCAATACCAGGCACAGAAGAGAAGAGAAGAGAAGGGAAGGGGAGGGGAGGGGAGG